CCTCTCTCTCTCTCTCTCTCTCTCTCTCTCTCTCTGTCTGAACTCTCCATCTACTCGTGATCTGCGAGTTTCCATCTTCCAATCGTCGCCGTGAGGAGACACTCGCCTGCTTAACTGGCCTGAGTAACTCCGTCCTCGCATACACGGAGTATCCCCCCTCTCCCGCTCGCTCCTTTGCCTAGAGAGAGAGAGAGGCGCGCCCAGACCCGTCGGTTGAAACAAGCCTTTTCTGGGCTGCGAAGAAGGAAAAAAAAAGAAAAGAAAAGGGATCCATGCGATGCAAGGCGATGCAATGCGATGCGGCTGACCGGGGGGTGGGGGGTTGGGGGATATGGTTACTGTAGCAATGCATGCATATCTATCAATCAATCAATCGATCAATCGATCGCTTGCCATCACACAGAACAGAACAGAACGGGACAGAAGGTGGAGTCGCCCGCTTTAGAGAGAGTAAGTGCTTCTTTCTCAAGGAGTACTTCGTAGAGGAGTATGTACATGTGACATGTAGTGGGTGGCGATACCGGTAAGTACCTACCTTACCTAGGTAGATCCATACGGAAAAGCGCGCTCGTCTTGGGGCTGGAGGGAGCCGATGGGATGGGATGGATGGATGGATGGATGCCTTGTCTCTTCATGGATTAGGGGGTGTTGATGGTGAGGGTGGAGGTTTTGTTGAATAGGTCGGTAGTCGGTGCGCGGGACTTCGCAACCCCTAACGTGCCAGAGATGGAACGGCCGTTTGGAGTCGAGGGGGGTTTTTTTTGCCACTGCTGCGGAAGTGGTGCTGCACCTTTTGGTCCGCCTCCCGAGGATTGTTACAGCTTCTGGGGAGGTTCGGTGGACCGTTGAATCTGTCAGTGGTCTCTTACTTGGTACTAATGAATATAGCAGTAATATCTTTTTTTGTGTTCGCTCTAGATCTTTCGAGACCCGTCGTGATCATGGATTTTTTTTTACCGAGATCTACATCTATCTATAAACCGCGGACAGCTTTTTTTTTTAAAAAAAAAGAAAAATCCTTTTTTTTTTTTCAAAAATCAGAAAAAATCAAAACAAGAACCGCTTATCCACGACAAGGGCTCTGCTGCTGCTCTTGCTATACAGTGGACTGGCTTCGACTTCTCGCACCCAGAGCGCCCACGGTCTGTCTTGCGACGCATCGTTCATGCTCAAGGACCCAGCGACCTGGTCGTCATCTAGATATCGCATATCTTCCAGTGGAGATGTGGTCGATGAGCCCGAGCCGAGATTCATCGAGGCATTCCGGATCAGCAGGGCGTTCGTCTGGACGTTGGCGTTTGCATGGGTGTAGATGGCTCGGTAGACGGCTTGCTGGATGCTCGTTCCGACGGTCGTGAAGCCGTGGGACGTCATGAGGACCTAGAGCAAAGAGTTGGCTTGGTGCTCTGCGGATGTCGAGGCTCTGATCCGGGATGGTATAGTGGCCCGTTTCGTGGAACTTACAACGTTGCGGGCCTGATTCGGGGAGCCTTCTGCGGAAAACTTCGAGGCGAGGCTGGATCCCAAGAATTGTGAGTTTACTAGCATGTCTTGTTGGTCTTCAGGCTTATAGAGAGGTTTGATATCGAAGGTTGGGACATGGGGACCTTCAAAATATGTTTGTAAGTGTCGTTATTCTTCATCCCAAAGTGTCGAGGGGTGCTGGTTACCAAGAAAGCCAGCGATGTGGAAGGTTGGCCTCATCGGCACTCCACTCATGGTGTACGGGAGCACAGCTTCGGAGTGGCTGTGAACTACGCTATTGACGTGAGGAAATCGCTTATATATCTCGCTGTGGATGAAGCGTTCTTGGTACCCTTTCTTGGACTTTGGATCAACTACCATATACATTGTTGTCAGCGAAATAAAAAAAAGAAGTCTTCTCCGCTTCGGATAGTAATGCGTGATCCAGGATCGAGATGTTTCTTCGTAGGCTAGGAATGACCCGTAGGGGTACTCCAACACTTCATTTTCAGGAAGTCTTTCTCACCCGGGGATGCATCTGATACGTTATAAGGTATTAGATCAGCTTGAGATGAGACCAATGCCGGAGCCTTGTCTCCAGACATGATGAAAACATCAGACTTCTCTGGGTGGCGAAGAGAAACATGACCGTATGCGTCAACGACATGGTGGTAGTGGAGTATATTGTTCGCAATGATGAGGGTTTCCAGCTATAAGTAATATTTCAGTAGTGTAGAAGTCGTGGACGCTTTCCCGATCGGCCTTATTGCAAGATATCTCTCCTCACCAGCAGAGCGCGGTCGCAGCGATCACGAACTTAAAAGGGGCTGAGACGAACCTGCTTCCTCAGTGCAATATAAGCCGGGCTCATTAATGTGTCCATACTGACCCAGTGGAAGTCGAAATATACTATTACTACGTAGATCAATATAAAAAGTTTAACAAGGAACATGATTTGCACCTTGATATCGCATATCCATTCGAACTTCATTCTCCACAAGTCAATGATGACATCGTGGTCTTTTTCAAGCCAGCCCACGAGTCGCGGGACCGAGGGGACCAATCAATATTAGCGGACGGGAGTAGCTCATAGTCCATGGCCTTGTAACCTGCGGGTAGAGCGAGATCTTCGATTTATAGGGTTTGACATGTAGAGAAAAGGCTTTTCGGGCAGCGCTAAAAGTAGAAGGTTTTTCTCGTCGAATCTTATAAGTAAAGACAGCCTCCTATAATGAATGGCCGATCACGCTACCGATACGTACTACTAGTAGTACTACTAGATCAACGTACCTTAAAGGCAGGTAGGGGTTTATTTAGACGGTCCACGGACCCTATTCGGACCGTCTCTTTTGGGGATGGTCCCTGACTGTTGAGACGGTCAGTGAAGCACTCGTCGTCAAGACCTGAAATACTACTAAGATTGTATCTGATAAATAACGGTTCATGTGATTTGAATCGTAACCAAAATAAAATGGTTTTAATCGAGCAGACCGTCTTTGATTAGAGCCAGTCTTTTCGTGAAAAGACCGTCTCAAACCCTTGTTCGAAAGCTGGTACCGGTACTAATAAGCAAGTGGTACCTATCTTCATCGCTTATTACCGGTACCTAGGTATCTCTCGGTCTCTTGCATCCCCACCTCCTGGCCCTCCTCCTGCTGTACGGGAGCATGCGCACAACAAACCGGTCAAATTTCGCTGAGTCGATTAATTTTAATATCTAATCGATGAATGCTTTGACGTTCATAAGGTGGTAGCGATACGGAGAAATATCTTAGCACGGGTTTTTTAAATTATAACCAGAAAAGAATCATATCTTATTGGAAGACGGCCTACGTGCGGTCTCTTTGTAAAATACCGTCTACTAACATTCTTATCTTAAGAGAAAGTAAGCTTATCAGATCTTTAAAAAGACAGTATTGTATTTGATATTATACCTGGTTATAGACAATCACCGGACTATCTCAGAAATTCGATATTGATTTATAAAGAAGTATAGCCAAATAAATCAAACAGAGACGGCTATAGGACGGTCAAGGGATGGTCTTTTGCTCGGGGATGGTCGGACGAATAAACTATTCTTGATTGGAAATTACCGCTGATTTTAAACGGTTTAGTGACCGTCTTTCAAAGAGTCGGAGGACCGTTCAGGTGACCCCCCACCTGCCTTTAATAAGGTAGGCCCGAGAGCACATTGATTAGACTGAACATCAATAAGATAAGGTATTGTTTACCGACGAGAGGTGGGCTCAGCTAAGAAAGTATCGAAAGGTTTAAGTAACTTGACGAGTCGATGAACTTTTGCACTTTGATTGCGTAATTCGTCGAGATCAACGAAAGATCAGATACAGTAGATAGTTTACGTAGTAAAAAGCGATTTGCGGAGAATTAGATCGAGTGTAAAGGTTGTTCTGGAAAAACAATTAGAAATCGACCATTGCTAGAAGTTATTTGGAGATTATCCGTATTAATCATCGATAGTATTCTTCACGATCATCTCGAATCAAACTTTCTTATCAAAGCTTATAGTACTGTATTAAGCCGATCGGATAGCCAGCTTATCTCTCGATCCTAACCCGTTTAAGACGGGTTAAGGTTGAATGGAAGATTGTGTGCATACAACTGTAGTACCGGCACTACTATCTAAGAGAAGCACCTAAAGTTTATCACTACTACCTTCGATTAAAAAAGATTATTCAAAAGCGTAGGATTCGATTGAAAAAGATAAAGTTGTTCTTACAATTAAAACGATAAGATCACGTTGTTAAGACTTCATCGAGGCGGAAGGGTAGTACGTACTACGTAGTAGTAGTATAAAGCCTAGTAGAATAAAAGCTTATTAAAACAGCAAGAACTTACCCTCAAGCGGTAATTATTCGAGGGGGAGGGGTAGATTGATTGACCTCCGGCGAAATGCGAAATATCGAGACTTGGATACAGACAACAAAATACGTAGTACGTAATACGTAGTACGTACTACGTAGCCGCATTCAGACCAAACACCGCGCCCACACCCAAAGCCTCCAACGTCCGGATCACCATCCAGAAGCAGAAGGTGTCACGTCTCCTGGCCATCATTGCACCATGCAACTGAATGAAGAAGGCCTACACCATTTACACGAATGATGATCTCTAAGTGCAGCACACACACCGAGGTATAATGCAAAGATCCTCAAATCGGAGATCCAGCCTTTACCTCACGACGAGCTGATGCGAAAGTTCTATGCTGATTCCCAAGACAGTACCGAGGACCTGCCATTCGGGTGCCGACTCTTCTACTTCTAGACGCGTCCTCTTATCCGGCCGTGAGCCTGTGAGCCCATTGGACCGATTGGAAGAGCCAAGTGGCTGAACCTGAGTTAGTCGCCTTCTGCTTTGGAAGTGATCGCTGCCAATGAAGTCTCGCACGGTTTGGAAGCTTTGGCTTAACTCAATCAAGTTCTACGATGAGCGAGAGACAAGGCTCTCTGGGGTGATATGAATAGACATAAATACACACGCATCTCCTACCTTTCCCATTGCTCCTCAGCGAAGAACGTAGGTAGCCTACCTGTCTTTCCTCACGTTGACCATGACTTTCTATCTCTTGGCCCTGCTGGCCTTGCCGGTGGTGTGGGCACTAGGCACCCCAAAGACCTGTGCAAACCCTGTCCTGAGCTGCGGAACGATCACCTCGACCGACCTGTGCTGTTTCAACTCTCCGGGAGGCCAGATGCTCCTCACGCAGTTCTGGGATACGGATCCAGTCACGGGGCCAACCACCTCGTGGACGATTCATGGATTGTGGCCGGATCATTGTGATGGCACCTATGACTCTAGTTGTGACCCTACCAGGTTGGTAACTATCCAGATGGCCGGAGAAACCAGAAGCTGATACGAGACCCCAGAGCCTATACCGGGATTACGGGCATCCTCCAGTCTTTCGGGAAGACTGATCTGCTTTCCTACATGCAGACTTACTGGAAAGATTACACCGGCGATGACGAGACCTTCTGGCAACACGAATGGAGCAAGCACGGTACCTGCGTAAGCACGCTGGAGCCCAGCTGCTACACTGACTACACAGAAAAGCAAGAAGTCGTCGACTTTTTCCAAAGAGCCGTGGATCTGGACAAGACACTCGACAGCTACACGGTAAAGCTCCTTGCATTGGGCCTACAAGAGTGAACGTTGACTCAATCACATGTAGTTCCTTAAGAACGCCGGCATCGTCCCATCCACGACTGAAACATACACCTCCGCTGAGATTCAAGCCGCTCTCAAGGCCGGCTTTGGCTACGCGGTGACCATTCAATGCTCTTCTGGTGCCCTCAACGAGATTTGGTACTCTTACGACGTTCGGGGCTCTGTAGCAACAGGTGAATTTGTGAAAGCTGATCCGGTTGGTCAGTCTGGCAGCTGTGCCTCGACTGGTATCAAATATCTGCCCAAGTCAGGCGGTGGTGGCACGCCAGCCACATCCGGACCGGGTTCTACTCCCACTGGAGACTCGTTCTCTGGAACGGGCTACTTGAACGCAGTCACGAGTGGAAGTGCGAAGGGTTGCTTGATCAGTGCTGGAAAATGGTATACCAGTGGCACCTGTGCTACTTTTACAGCAACAGCTTCCGGTAAGACCACCACCATATTGCAGTACTTATCCTCGTGAGGGTACGATGCTGACTAGCAAAGGCTCTGGCTTCACTCTGAAGTCCTCTAAGGGTAACTGTGGTATTGTGAGCGGTGCTTTCACCTGTGATTCTGGTGTTACCGCCACCGTCTTCACTGTACGTTTTTGTTACACACCGCTTTTGCTGAATAAGTGACATATTCTGATAAACATACAGGCTAGTGGGGGCAAGTTGGCGTACAACGGTGCCACCAACTTCTATGCCGCGGATGTTCCAACTGGCAGCACGCAGCAGACCGTCTATACCACATCCAAGTACGTGTCGGTTAGTTTCCAGTGGGCGAGTGCGTAAGCGAGACGTAGGTATGGTAGGAGAAGAGATGCCGAAATGAAGAAAGCCACGAGGTTGGAGTACATGCAATTGGGCTGCGGAGAGCTCTTGAAAAGACCTCATGAAAAGACCTCTTGAAAAGAGGGATGTGATACACAACACCAAATAGCATTTCTGCAGAATCAGAAACACATTTCTCGCGACTTCTGATGGAAAGCGGAGGAGTAAACGAGTAAACGAGTAAACGATGCGCGGTGGAGATTACTGTAACAACACGAATACCAATATCAAGATTCAGAGTCGAGTGTAAATCATTGAAGCGGCCTTCGCGAGAAGCAATCTTCGAGATAGACACGTTATTAGCTACCGTCCAAAGAGAGTAGATCCTGGGAGTCTCAATCTCGATGTCTTGGATTTTGGCGGAATCTGGCAGTATGAAAGTGAGTAAATCGGCAGAGCCAGAACATGAACGTAGTGGCTTTATCCGAAGCAATAATTCAAATATTGTATGATTGACAATTTGATAGCGTGAGATGAATGTGCTATCTATTTTAACTTTGGTGAGAAGAGATAAACCCCATGCTCGCTTTACGCGACTTCTGCCAAGCCAAGCGCGTCCTCCAAGACCAAAGATCCCGAATCAACGCCAACATTCATTCACCATCTATACACGACACTGAGAATGGCCCGCAAGACGAAGAAAGAGCTGGTTTCGGAGGATTCGGGAGATGATGAGGAGGTTATGGCTAGTGAAGAAGAGCTCGAGGCAGAACTCGACGAGCCGCCCTCCATCGAGCCTTACCAAGTCCTAGGAATCGAGAGAAGCGCGACAGAGAGCGAGATCAAGTCCGCATACCGCAAGGCCGCGTTGAGGCACCACCCGGGTAAGCATATGTTGCCAGCTTTCTGCAATCGCATTCTGATCTGCTACAGACAAAGCCGCACCTCACCGCAAGGACGAAGCGCATACCAAATTCCAGGAGGTTGCCTTCGCATACGCAGTCCTCTCCGATCCTATCCGCAGAAAGCGCTACGACAAGACGGGCTCGACTTCAGAATCCATATCTGTCAACGAAGACTTTAGCTGGACCGATTTTTACTCTGAGCAGTTCCGCGACGTGGTTACTGTGAGTGCTATCGAGGAGTTCGCGAAGACCTACAAGGGATCGGATGAGGAGAGGGACGATGTCGTTGCTGCCTATAAGACGCATAGAGGTTCCTGGAACAAGATTTACCAGACGGTTATGTTGAGCGACTGTCTAGAGGACGAGGACCGCTTCAGGGGCTACATTGACGAGGCGATCGAGAAGGGAGATGCCACAGGCTTTCCAGCATACCTGAAGGAGACTCCCAAGCAGAAGGCTGCTAGGATGAAGGCTGCGAGGAAGGAGGCCGAGGAGGAGGCTGCGGAGGCCGATGTCTATGGCAAGGAGTTGAAGGCCAAGAAAGAGGAGGCGAAAGGATTGGAAGATCTGGCCGCGCTGATCCAGAACAAGCACAGAAACACAGGCTCGTCGTTCTTGGATGCTCTGGAGGCGAAGGCCAAGGCAGAGCAGAAATCAAAGCATGGGAAGCGCAAGGAGAAAGTTGTTGACGAGGATGAGGACATGGAGGAACCCTCGGAGGAAGCCTTTTTAGCTACCGCTGCTAAGATGCAAAAAGGCAGTGGTGCAAGTGAGGGACGGAAGAGCAAGCGTGGGAAGCACTGAATGCATGGCTTTACTTGGGTATGTTTATGGAGTCTACGGTAGGAAGGATATCAGGTTGGCGTTACTGAGAACAAAATACCATGACTTTTGGATCCCGTTCTGTCATGGTCTGAGGAGCATTGTATATGAATCCGGTTTTATGGACCGGTCCAGCCCCAAAGTTGTCAGGTCAACTCGTACTGTTAACACTACTGTACTCTTTCACGACTTTCAAGGCATCATCCGAAGCCAACTTTAGACGCCCCACAACGGCCTACTCACGTGACCATGTGTATATGTTGTCAACTCGCGTCGGCTTCAACGCGTCACCTACGGAGTAAACACCGGCGCAGCCCATATATTCAGGCCGCGCCCGCAGAGACCATCAACCATGCCATGAAATCCATTCCCGAGAATATCTATCCCGACTATTGCCACAGCCTGTCACCGACGATCGGGAAATGGTGTCCGTTACAGGCAACCGATGTGCACCGTCTGCGAGACGTGGGAATGTTTTCCGATGGTACATATGACCGGGGCCATAATGCTCTTGAGGGGGAAACAAACGCATGAGGCTAATTCTGTTCGCATAGGCAGAGTACTCTACCATCTCGGCAATCACCCAGTCAAGTGGGTGCGGATCACCGGCGTCGTCGTGGCAATGGATCAGTATCCGGGCAAGAGAGTGTATGTGGTCGATGACAGCAGCGGGATGAATATCGAGTGCGCAGCTGCTGCGCCAGTAAGCTCTCCTATAAACGAAGCTCCAGCTGTCCCGAAGCATCTGGATCAAATTGCTTCACTGATGGCTGCCAAACCCTCCAACGCGCCGCCGAAGAAGCCAGAGCGAATGAAGGAGACCCAGGGCGAGGAAAAGAACACGAGCCCTTCGGTTCAGACCCCAATGGTACCTTGGGATGAGATCGATGTCGGGATGGTAGTGAAGGTCAAGGGCCGGGTCAACAGCCGGTGGGATATCATTCAGATTGAGGTTGTCAAGGTGGAAGTGATGCGGTGTACAGATCAAGAGGTCAGGTGCTGGAACGAGATTATGGCATTCAAGAGAGATGTGTCAGATCGTCCGTGGGTGGTTAGCAAGGAGCAGGAAGAGAAGTGTAGAAGGCTCAAGGAGCGAGAGTTGCGTGGGTCCAAGAACGGTGGAAGGAGGGCTGAGAGTAGAGAACAGAGGAAGAAGAGGAAGGACGACGAGAAGAAAGCGGCGGAGAGAAGGGAGGAAAGGAAGGAGAGTGTCAAGAGGAAGAGGGATGATGAGAGGACGAGGAAACGGACGAAGGCCGGTTATCCTTCGACGGCCGTGATGAAGGTAGCGGCCGGGCATCACGCTGCTGTTGGGATTTGACGACTGGAAATCTTCTCTCGGACGCGACTTGACGAATTACCGACCTTTGCAGTTGTATGTCTTATTCATGGCTACACACCAAAGACGCGAGGTATGTCTTTCCGTTCCATTCGGATATATCAAAATGGCATCAACTTGATATTGGTATTGGATACCCCCTACCACGCGGGCCTGACCTCACGACGATACTCTCAATCGCGGGCAACATACTTTGCAAGAAGGCACGGCGTGCTCCGGATCCGCAGTCAGTTGAATGGATCGACGGCATAGTTCCCACCGCTTGAGGATGGCTGGCTTTACTGTATCTACTACGTACGTAGTACGTATGGCCGAGGTCGATACTCGCCCCATGTTTAAATGCCAGACTCGGTTTAGCCCCATAAGTCGTAGATCGGTGGTTTCTGAATGGCTCGAAGCCCTGTCAACTCAATTGCACAGACTACAGAGTAAATACTGACCTAAAGATACTTTTCAAGGCTGGATTCTTATACTGTACGTAGTAGTAGTACTACGTAAGTTGATTGGTTTAAGCACCCTTGCAAAATTATACTTTCGACATGTTTTCATGGGGGAGGGGAGTACAGCGAATTTTGATTCTTTCATCATTCTGGGTCCGGCTACAGTGATAAGCTAATAAGCGAGCAAGCGCCGGGCATTTGGGATTGTGCTACTGTGTGATCCGCACCTCGTGGTGAACATGATCGCTCCAGTACTTATGGATCTACGTAATAGTGGGCCTTGACGTCGCAACTTTTGGGGCCCTTCCCTAAAGTGGGCGAAAAAATTATGTCCCGCGAAAAAATTATGTCCCGCTTTAACGCTAAAAATCGCGGGGAACGTAGACACTTTAACAACACTTCAACACAATATTTTCTATCAAACATTGACCTACGTACCTAAATAAAAATGAGTAAAAAACGCGCGCGCGCTCTTACACCTTTTGATCTTAATTCTGAATACTAGAAGCTTTTAAAAGCTTCTTAACATAAGCGAATACAGCTAGCATTCGAATAGCTCTTCGAAAACCCTTTCGAAACACCTTTTATTGCGAGTCGCATTCATATGATAGAGAAGCTTGATACTTTAAAGCGAAGATAGAATAAGTATCAAGCTAAACAAGCTCGATTGAAAGAAGGGAAAGCGCTACAAGTAAGAAGGCTTATAGTTTTATTAGTAGCATAGCACAAAGCTATTTTGATTTACGCCGCAGATCAAGCAACTAAAAGAAGGAAAGGAGCTACTAAGCGTATGCTTTATCGATGCATTTGCTACTTTAAAATACAAGAAAATAAGCTAAAACCTTCTTAGCGTTAGTTTCAATCTTAGTTGAGAAATACAGCAGAACTCTATGCTATACGGACTAAACCAATCGCATCTTATCGCGTCGATATGCATACCGAGAAATCTCTCTTTAACTGATTTTATATCGAGCTTGTTCCTGCTATCTAGTTCTGCGGAATTAGGCTTAAAGATAAGCATAGAATCGCAAATATAAATGAGAAAGGCGCGCGGATTTGTATGCCGGCTAAAGAAGAAGTTATCGTACTTATCGGAATCAAAGAGATGTATACAAGAATCTGTGAAAATCGACTATCCGTAATTATGATCGAAGCTATTCTTGCCGATAGAAAAGCTATTCCTTTAATGATTATTATGCTCGGAAAGCAAATTATAGCGTTTTGGTTTTCCGAAAAAATGACTAGACATGAAGTTGTTATTATTTTCGAATCCGGTTATACGAACGATAGGATTACTATAAAGTGGCTTAAGCACTTTATTAAGCATACCGATCAAAGACTCGATAAACCGTAGATGATATTATTACTTGATGGTCAGCTTTGCTACGAAGCTTTAAATTTTATTTTATTAGCTAAACAAAATCGTATATAGCTTATTAAATTCCTTTCTTATCAAACTCATCTTTTACAACCTCTCGATATCGGCTGCTTTCGCACTTGGAAATATAATCAACAATGTGCTATCATAGATGCTATTCGAAGCTTCGAAGCTAAATATACTATCTTATCGTTTATGCGAGACCTTCTTCAAATTCGCGAGCAAACCTTTATAACTCGGAATATTAAACACGCTTTTCGAGATGCAAGAATATGGTCGATCAGCTTTTCTTAAATTTAACGCAAATTGAAAGAGTATAGTAAAAAGAGTAAGAAAGAGGCGAGATTGCATATACTCGAGTACGAAGAAACGTCTGATCTTAAAGAAAAAGATGAATATTCTTTTTCAATCGATAAGCAACTTGACGAATTACTTTTTCTTGCGCTACTTCGACCTCTTTAATCTTTTCAAAATTGCGTAGAGCAACTCGACGATCTGAACGATAAGATCAGAATAGCTCTTTCTTCTCTTAGCCGCTAACGCTTCGATATCGCGAAACAAAGTACCGAGACTTGGTTATTACGAAGAAGCCTTGATCAAGCAGAACTCGATAAAAATCAAAAGCTTTAGCGCGATACACATCGGAAAAAGCTGATTAGAAGGTCGATGTCGGTATATCCATATCGACCTTAGCTAGCTAGTAGTAGTAGTTGGGGAAGCTCACCCATGAACCATGGTTCACGGGCCACTTGGCATGCCTCGCTTAGCATGTCAGCAGTCAAGGGACCCCCAACTTGACAAGTAAGCCTATTAGTTAGCTAGTGCACGTGATTCCTTCTAGTCCTATAAAAGGAATCAGCTCCCCTGAATCTTGGGGAGCAGACAGAATTCAGATACCTTATCAACCGAGTGTTTTGCAATTGCAAGTACTTTGACGACCGTTACGACCTTACGAATATATATTCCCAATCGCTTAGAAGCAATCCAACACTGATCAGTGATTGAATTACTACTAAGTGATCAATCACAAAGAAGCTAAGACTCTATAGCGAAGATACCTTTTACTACGATACCTCCCTCCTTCTACAACGGAAGAGCGATTCCGTACCAAGTCGCTTTCTTACACCCCGATACCTTTACTTTACAACGGAAGAGCGATTCCGTACCAAGTCGCTTCTTATACTACCGATTTTCCCCTATTCCTACGGAAGAGTGATTCCGAACCAAGTCACTTTTATATAACCTTCAAAGCTGTAAAGCCGCGCCTGCTACACACAGCAAACCCAACCAACACGATCGATCTACGTACGAGCAGACAACAACTATGGCCGATCGAGCAACTGGACTTCCAAGTAAGGAGTCCAGCCGACAAAGAGCAGTAAAGTATTATACCCTTCGAGTCTCATCACTATCCACGGAACCCCCAGCTATTCAGCCAAAAGGACCACTATACCCAGGACTCCTAAGCCTCTCGGAAAGACCAGACGACGAGATGTCGGGCATCTCATTTGACTTAAACGAGCTACCATACGCAAAGCTAGACAATAAGATCACGGCCCGAGCGATAGTGAACGACTTCTTAGATACAAAGTGTAAAAGGCTGAAAGATTACGACCTGTAGAGCCTATTCCGGCACGCTTTCTCACGCTAGGATTAGACCAGTTTTACAATGACGAGGGACAATACGGGACGAGGCCTTAAGTTTGCTACCCTTATTAGCCTCAAAGAACACTTGCTGTCCAAAGGCGTGTGGTGCCCCCTAAAGCAAAAGGGTTACGCCAATAGGATGGTCAAGCTCTTGAACGACGAGCAGCAACACCAATAGACCTTCCAGGAAATAAAAGAGCAACAAGCAACACCTTTAGGCCTCGATTCAAGGTGGACCGAAAACCTCACGGACGACGAGGATAATACGCCTCAACCACCTCCACCACCCCTACGAAGTCCAAAAAGGAAGGAGAAGGAAGAGGGGGAAGAGATTCGGAGGTTACGCGAGGAGTTTGCGAAGGAGAGGAAGGATATGGAGCAAAATATAAAGGTGATAGCAAGGCAAATGGCGGAATTACGGACCTACGCTATACAATCTAATAAAGAGCTACGACGAAGCACTTCAGCGTACTCGACGCCCTCAATTCATCAATCGCTACGCAATACGCCAATCATACAAGAGCCAAAATCACCTTAGCGGCCTTCAAACCCTTTTCTTAAAGGCTACACCCAGTTTTCTGAAAAGCCTAGACCGAGTAGCAACAAAAATAGTCCTGAGATTATCATCGGACCAGACAACACTCGAGGCCACGGGAGCTACACGCCAAAAAAGGACCCGCCAAAACCTAAGAGCATTCCGGACAAAATCAGCTCTCGCCAAGGACAGCGTGCAGATTTCCGTGCCCAACCTCAGCAACCCGAGGAAGGGATCCAGCACCCTCGGACGTACCGACAAGCTACCCACATCTTTCAAGAGGCCACGTATCAGTAAGAAAAAAACCAAGGGTATAAGAATCGCTAAGAGCGCGCTTAAGGGTACGGATATCACCAAGCTAAAGCTCCGGCTAATGACCCAAATGGCCCTGGCGATCTTAACGATGACCGACGAAAAGGAAACGGAGGAGATTAGCAAAGAGATCGAAGCTACGGATACGGAAGAGGTAAGAACGGGCCCCTTAGACCACCAAAGGGATTCGGAAACGGACCCTCAAGGGACCCCGGATTCGGAAATGAGCCTCCTAAGGACCCTAGAAAAGGACGGACCACCGGCAACTATATCGGTAACCTCTTACCGATCAGACCATTAGCCAAGCACAACACGCCTGCGTACGGCACTCCAAGCGCCCTTGACGATAATAATAACGATTTCCTTAAGCTAAGAGCAACTGACCCTCACCCAAGAGCAAAAGAGTTGGCCTTGTTTGCAAGAAGCTTTCCCAAAGAACTGAAGTATTCGGGACCCGACGATGACTTCAAGACCTAATTAAGTATTTTCGCTGACCAAGCAAGTCGGTACGGCTTAACATCCGACGACTATTTAGCAGCGTTCTCAATTATACTTACGAGAAAGGCTATAACCTTTTATTACAATCATGTGATAAAGGCCAAGCTTCCGACGTTTAAAGCAAACGCTATTGCTATAAAGGACCACTTCGAAACTGACCATCGGCGGCAAGCAAAATACGACCGCTAAGAAGAAATTTCGCTAGATTTGGTCAAGAAAGAGAATCCAAGGACCTCGCTTAGCGAGTGCTTTGAGAAGCTCGCTAAAGAGCTCAAAGGCATTCAAAGCTCTTTACGACCAGGTTTAAGAGACGATCGAAGTCTTGCTAACAAGCTGTATTCAGCTTATAAAAACGTGCCAGAGACTACGATTACACGAATGAACTTTGCGTTTACCTCCACCGCCGCAGTTGCCGACATCCGCCGAGCAATTGTATTTGCAACTGAGTCCTCCCGACCCGCCAAAGCTAAAGCTTACGCGAGCTCTAGCGAGCCACACGACCACACCTGCTTTCAGCACAACACCTTAGAAGCTGACTCCGATTTGGACGAAGAATACGAATGCTTTATTCAAGACCGCCAATACTTCGAAAGTAAAAAAGCTGCCAAGGCTACTAAGGGTGAGAAAAGGTGTTTTGTTTGCAAAAAGCCAGGTTGCTAGAGCACCAACCACACCCCCGACGAGAGAAAAGCATCCATTGCCAAGTTCCAGGCCTCCAAGGACGCAAAAAGGGTGACGAGAAGCAAATTCTCTCAATACGTAGCATCGATTAAAGGCTTGCCACTTGTATCCACGGAAGAATTCGATCAGTTTATCGCAGGCCTACCAGACGAGCCGCCCGAATCGGGCAGCTACGCCAACATATCAGAAGGTTTTGTGACTACCTACGGCACCTTTGACGCTAACGAAGTATACAAGCAACTAGAGATTCAGACGGCATTCCACGCCCTTACCAGCTAAATCGAGATCCAAAACGTGCCCACGGGCAAAGCAAAGACTTATATGGCCTCTAAGTACTCTGAAAACGTGTTCATAAGCCTTATGATTGACAGCGGAGCAGCTAATTTCTCTACCGCTAGCTTGCTCTAGCTACGAGCACTCTAAAAAAGGTACCTCGAAGTCCAATTAAATACATCCCGGGCAAAGGAAAAGTCCGTCAAATACGGGATTGGCTCTGCCACCTCTATTAAAACAGTTACCTTAGAAACGCCCTTAGGTCAAGTAGAGTTCTACGTTATAAAAAGCGACGTACCTTTCTTATTCTCGTTGGCTAACATAGACAAGCATAAAGTGATCCTAGATAACTTGCGAAACGTGCTAGTCTAAAAAAAGAAGGAGATACTAGTAGTAAAGATATTTAAGCACGTATAGATGCTATTAAGTAAAGAGCACGCTGCTACCTACTATAGCACCGAAGGCGAGACCGTTTACTATCACTTTACGGAAGAACAATTAAGGACCATCTATAAGCGTTTTAGCCACCTTTCAGCAAGTCGATTTGCTGCTGTTCTTAAGAGGGCCGGGCACGAATTCAAACGGGATTTGCTCTATAACATCCAAAAGTTTTGCTACTATTGCTAAGTATTCGAACGCTTCTCGAGAAGGTTTAGTATCAAACTCAAAGATGATACTGACTTCAATAACACGGTATACGTCGATATGATGCACCTTGACGGCAAAAACGTATTGCACGTCGTCTGCGACTTTATTAATTTTCAAGCCGCCACCTTCCTCAAAAGCATGTCCGCACAGCACTTACTTAAAGGATTCAATCGATGTTAAGTCAATACTTACGTCGGACCCTTTACAAACGTAGTGCACGATCCCGGAACCAACTTCAATTCAGCAACGTTCCGAAGCTACCTTAAAGGTATTGGCAGCATTCTAAAGCAAATGCTTATAAAAGCCTATCATAGCGTCGGGCTAGTAGAACGCTACTACGTCCTTATGCGACGCGCCTTTAAGATCGTCATAAAAGAGCTTCTAAAAGCCTTAAGAAAGGACCGGCTTTAAATAGCTATCAAAGCCATCAACGATACAGCTAGACCTAATAGCTTGGTTCCTACACTCCTCGTTTTTAAGACCTTACTAAGGCTGACGGAACAAGATCGACCTGCCGCGTCTACCCAAGAGCGTGCTGCTGCTATTAACAAGGCTATAAAGGAAGTACGAAAATGCCACGCTGCAAGGCAGGTTAAGGACGCGCTTAAGAAGAGGAATGGGCCAATTACGGAGCATACCCTAGACCTCTTTATTAGTTCACGAGTACTCGTGTGGCGGGAAAACCAAAGGTAGAAGGGCCCCTTTTAGCTGTTTGGCAAGCAAGGGCACACGTGCACAGTGGCATATCCGAGGCCTACGGAATTCAGGTCAACCTCAGTAAAACCTTACTACTCTGAAGTTGAAAAGCTGCCAAAGGAGTTGCAAGTACTTAAGGTAAAGGTAGAAGAAGATCAGAGTGAAAGCGACGAAAGCGAAAAAGAGCTAGAACCACGAAATTCGCTTAAACCTTAACATTCGCTTAATCCACCGAAGTCGCTTAATCTAAAAAGCTCGCCAAGATTAGCAAACGACCCCCCTTAACTTGTCAATTCCTAGAGATCAATAATACTAATGGTCCAAATACCTTACTAAAAGTACGATCCTAGTATCTTGACCGTGCTCGACGAAGAAGAAAGCGATTCTTACGTTCTATTCACCAAAAACTCCGAGGTGCTAATTACCGACAAGAAACGCCGGGACTATGAGCTCTTAGCTAAGCTACGAGCCGAAGGAATCATCAAGAGCTTTAAGGCACCATTTCAAGAGTCTAGAGCAAAGGAATTGGCTAGATTGATAACTTAAAGCATCTTCCAAGTGATCCCGAGCACCGATCCACGTGCTAAAAGCGCTAAGATCTTTAGATCTAAGTTTATTAACGAGATCAAAAGCAAAGGAACACCTACGCTATACGAGAAGTCTCGTATAGTAGTCCAAGCTTTCCAAGATAAAGGCAAGACGAAAGTACTTATCGAATCTCTTACGGTACAGCGAGCGAGCTAAAGACTTTGTTGCGCTCTGGCTCCCTTTCTAATAAAGGACTACGAGTGCTAAGTCTATAATAAAGATATCACACAAGCTTACACTCAGTCAAGCACGAAGCTCATACGAATAATCGTCGTGCGACCACCTAAAGAGATCACTTATCGATTCCCTTTCGGCACCTTGTTCCTTATGACTAGCCTTTTATACGGCATCCTCGAGGCAAGAACGCACTAGTATAAGCGTTTTTCAAAGCATTTTACGGACAACCTCGAGATAAGGCAATCGAGCTTTGATTCTTGCTTCTTTATATCAACTAATAAAGATCAGTTAAGAATAGCTGCCCTACAGACGGACGATGTTCTTATGGTTATCAATCCAGCTATAAAGGCAAAGGAAGAGAAGGAGCTGGTCAAATCCAAGCTAAAGAGCAAGGAAATAAAGACCCTTACACACGCCGAACCGATGATTTTCAATAGATGCAAGCTATCCTTGGATAAAGACGGGTTCGGGCTATTAGTTGGGCAGAAAGGGCAAGGTAAAAGGCTTGCCGTGATCAAGCTTGATTCAGCCACACGGGCTAAAGAGTACTTAAAGCAACGTGCCCGAAAGGCGTATTTAGCTACCATTTGCTACCCAAAGGCATCTTGCGCTCTATCGATAGCTGCCTAGCACCAGGAACCAAAGGACGAGGACTACAAGGCCCTTAATAAGGTGATCCAATAGCTGATCGATCACTCAACTCGAGGGATCTACTACGTGCCTTTAGACCTAAGGACGGCGAAGCTCTTTGTGTTCGTAGATAGAGCGTTTGCTAACAACGCTGACCTTAGCTCTCAGATCGGTTTCGTAGCTATCCTTAGCAATAAGGCTCACGTAAGTAAAAACGAGTTCATTCTGACGGGTAACATCCTCTATTAGGTGTCACAGAAGTGCAAGAGAGTGACAAAGGCAATATTAGCCTCTAAGCTATACGCTATGTCCCTAAGTATCGACATAGCTATTGCTATATCGACCACCTTTACCCAAATCACAGCCTAGCTAAGAATCCTTAATTTCCTCGTAATGGTGTGCACTGACTCTTACTCGCTTTACGAGTGCATAATAAAGCTAGGAACTACTAAAGAGAAGCGCCTCATGATCGATATTATAGCTATTCGGGAGTCATACGAGAGGCGGGAGCTCTCTGAGGTACGCTAGATCGAAAGCAAATCTAACCCTGCTAACGCCATGATCAAAATCGAGGCCAATTCCTCCTTGCAAGAGCTAGTTTTGACCAATACCTTGAAGGTGCAAGTGGACGGATGAGTAGAAAGGCCGCTGTAAGAAAGAGAGGGATAAGATTGTTTTTCTTTTGTTTGATTACCTTCCTTCCTTTTTCGGTCGATATAGTAGTTGGCAAGGCACTGCTTGCCAAAGAGAGAGTTGCCGGTGTCGGTATATCCATATCGACCTTAGCTAGCTAGTAGTAGTAGTTGGAGAAGCTCACCTATGAACCATGGTTCACGGGCCACTTAGCATGCCTCGCTTAGCATGTCAGCAGTCAAGGGACCCTTAACTTGACAAGTAAGCCTATTAGTTAGCTAGTGCACGTGATTCCTTCTAGTCCTATAGAAGGAATCAGCTCCCCTGAATCTTGGGGAGCAGACAGAATTCAGATACCTTATCAACCGAGTGTTTTGCAATTGCAAGTACTTTGACGACCGTTACGACCTTACGAATATATATTCCCAATCGCTTGGAAGCAATCCAACAGTCGAGTTTGCAAACGGGAAGGAATATACTAGCTTTTAAAGCACTCGAAAAAGTCAAGGTTATAGAAATAAAAAAGCAAGAAGCTAGTCTTAAGATAGCGAACGCTAAACTTAAGTTAGCAACGATTAAAATTCGAAACGATCGTTATAATCAAAGAGTTTTTGATCGGAAAGCCGAAAAAGAGCGAAAGAAATGGTTGAACGAAGCGTATAAGCAATAAGGTCGAAAGATTCTTATACACATTCTACCCGAACGAGAAGTCTTTATTCGAGACCGCGAAAAGCAACTTACAGCAAAAGAACTAGAAGCTGATAATATTGATCTGATTTCTTTTCGAGACGCAATTGCAAACGAAGAAGCTGCGTTAAAAGAAGTTCAAGAAAGAGATCTTGTTATATTCGCGGACCCTTCGTATTTAATCGATCCTTAAATCTTTATAAAGGAAAAACGCTTTCGAATCAAACAAAACCTATTATCTTGCATTCAAATTAACGATGACGACGAAGATGAAAGATTAAATACTTTACTTTCGTCTCTTTTAGCAAAAATGATGCTTATTAGGTAGGAAAAGCCTGAAAAAGAGCTTGAAGAGAAAGAAGATTCGATATCGATTCGATCTGTAGCATCTTTTAATTCAATTCAAGGGACACGCGGTAAAATAATTTTTTCGTAGCTTAATTGAGAATGAATAACATTATTAAATATATATATATATATATTATTGCAGCGTTGTGAGCAATGTTATAAGCAATATAAGTGTTTACGTTCCCCGCGATTTTTGGCGTTGAAGCGGGACATAATTTTTTCGCGGGACATAATTTTTTCGCCCACTTTAGGGAAGGGCCCCAAAAGTTGCGACGTCAAGGCCCACTATTAGTACCATGATCCCGGCTCCGCGAACCACTGAAGTACTACGTACGTAGTAAGTCGGGGAGCCTCCTCGTGTTTGAAAGTAGTGGAGGATAACTGTAATCTCGCGCGCGGTCTTCGCCGGGAAGATACGTAGTAGGTAGGTACTCATACACTCTCTTTCTTTCCTGCGCTTCATCTTTCCTTTCGCGCGCTCTCTCTCTCTCTCTCTGTCTCTCTGTCTGTCTGTCTCTCTGTCTCTCTCTCACACAATCTCACACTCTCACACTCTCACACTCTCACACTCTCACACTCTCACACTCTCTTCAAACACACTGCGCCTCCTCACGATGGATCGGAGTGATTGAGTGCAACAACACAGCCACGTCTCATGTCTGGCACTGCCCTGCCCTTCGCGGCCGCCGAGCGAGGTCCATACGTACATATGTAGTACGTCAGCGGGGCACCAGCAGCCATCAGCCACTGCTGCTGGATCTGGATCTGAACAAGGCAAGGGAGGAAGGAAGAAGCAAAGATGTATTAAATCGTAGCTGGATTGAATCGCCCTGTCTGATTTCTACTGTACCGTATTGAAGATTGTTGTAGTAGTACCGGTACTTACTACCTACTACCTCCTACCTACTTGGCCTCGTCTCTCTCGTCGTCTCACGGCGGCTACTGACCCCCCGACCGCGCTTGGCGTCAGTTATCTCTCTTCACAGCCAACCAAAGGAGAATTCTCCATCTCTCTCTCCCTCGCAACAAACCAACCACCTACCTGCACACACCTCCCTCGTATTCCTGGCTTAACTTTCATACCTACTTGACCTCGACTCGACACATCTCATCTCATCTCATCTCTTCTCTTCTCTTCTCTCATCTCCCTTCCTCTTCTCTTCTCTTCTCTTTTCTACCGGTATTACAACCCCAACCCCAACCCCGACCCCGACCAGGACCGCCAAGATGGTTTGTGAGTTCATCCCTTCCCCCCTCCCCCCTCTCCCCCCCCATATCCCTCATCCTCATACCCTTGGCGGATGAGGTTGCGCCTAGCTTGCCACAGCATCCGGGGCATATAAGGAAGGGCATGGGCATCGACATGGCCCATCGAGGACAGTTCTTGATCTGTCTTTCTTCCGCCATTGCCCCCCTCCTCCCTCCTCCCCCTCCCCCTCCCCTCCCACATACCTACATCACTTCAACTTCTCCTACCCACATCACTGTCAGTTTCATATCAACCATAATATATATACAAATATATATATATATATATATATATATTTGTTTATTACATATACACACACACACACATACACACACACACTCTCTCTCTCTCTCTCTCTTATGCACACGCTGCAGTGCAGCCCAGACCGTCGCCAGAGCTTGACGGGCCTCCTTTCCTCCCTCTTCCCCTTTACTTCTCTTCCCCATCTCCATCCGTCCCTCTATCAATCCATTCATCCATTCATCTATCCACCTTTCCACCTTTCCACCTTTCCACCTCTCCCGCACTCGTCGAACGGGTGACGACGGGCCATACCAGCACCGCCCGCTGGCCAAGCCGCCGCCCCGGCAACCCCCAAACCTTCTCTCATTAGGGTGGACTCTTAGGCTGATTCCATCCTGCAACGTTCGATGACATTTAGCCACACCGCAGTATCGCAAAGAACTGCAGCGCGTAAAGACGGGAGCATCTGCGACCAAGAGAAACAGCAGAGACAGAGACATGACGAACATCCCGAATGGCACGCCGACGGAGAGGACCGGACTGGTGAGTGGGCGACAGAATGGGGGCGCGGGCATGGGCATCGACGGCCACCGCAAGAGCTCCCTGACGGCCTTCTTCGAATTCTTCGCCCAGAAGAACCACACGGCTGGAATGGAGAGTGAGAACAAGTTCGTGAGGATTCCTGCACTAGCCGTGCAAGCTACTAAAGTGACCTTGTACAGCAACTATGTCAATATCCTCTTGGTCTTCGTGCCGCTGGGTATGGTTGCTGGTGCAATGGGCTGGAATTCCACGGTTGTTTTCTTTCTCAATTTCTTTGCCATTGTGCCCCTCGCCGCCGTCCTGTCGTTTGCGACCGAGGAGATATCCATGAAGCTGGGTCAGACGATGGGTGGTCTCCTGAACGCGACGTTTGGAAATGCGGTCGAGTTGATCGTACGTGGTGTGCATCGATCCCGCGCCTGCTGCCGCTCTGCTAACCCGCATCGCAGGTCAGTATTGTGGCGTTGAAGGATGGGCAGATCCGAATCGTGCAATCGAGTATGTTAGGGAGTATCCTCTCCAATATGCTTCTTGTGCTTGGGTGCTGCTTCTTAGCAGGTGGCATTCACAATTCTAGGACAGGCACAGCACATGGGATCCAGCAAGACTTCAATTCGACCGTGGCCTCGACCATGTCTTCGTTGATGACTGTTGCAGCAGCATCTCTGATCATCCCAGCTACGGTATGCTCGCCGCCCCCGGATGGCTTCTACGTGCTGATGGATTCCCCTTCTAGTTGTATGCGGCCATGTCACGAAATATCAAACCCGAGATCAAGGAGAGGAACATCTTGATCCTCTCGCACGGAACCGCCATCATTCTCCTCATCCTCTACGTCCTCTACCTCTTTTTCCAACTCCGCACGCACGCCAGCCTCTTCGACGCGGAAACGCCAGAAGACGAAGAGGAGGAGGAGGAGGAGGAGCCACAATTGACTCCCTGGGCTGCGGGTTGTGTCCTCTTGGTCGTCACTATCGCGGTAGCTATCTGCGCAGAGTACCTCGTCGGGTCCATTGATGCTCTGGTGGAGTCATCCGGCATCTCGAAAACCTTCATCGGACTGATTCTCCTGCCCATCGTGGGTAACGCGGCCGAGCACGTCACGGCCATCGTGGTCGCGGTGAAAGACAAGATGGACCTCGCCATGGGTGTTGCGATTGGTAGTTCGATGCAGATCGCCCTACTTGTGACCCCCGCCTTGGTCCTGCTCGGATGGGTGATCGGGGTGAATATGACGCTCCACTTTGAGACATTCGAAACTGTCGTCTTCTTCTTGAGTGTGTTGGTGGTCACATACGTGATCCAGGACGGGAAGAGTAATTACCTCGAGGGCGCGATGGTAAGTTCCCGGCAGGTTGCTTCTGCGAAGATGAAGCCTAGTACTGACTACTCGTAGCTACTTGGACTTTACATCATAATCTCCCTGGCCTTCCTTGTTTACCCCGACCGTGCCACTTCAGACGACCCTAACCACGGCGACGCGATTGGCGATTCGGCGGCTTTGGTCGCGAGATCTCTCGGGGCCCTGGTTGGGTATTGAGTGTGTCGTCAGGCCCGTTTGAGGGCCGGGTTTTGAATTGAGCTACCTCTTTTAGTGTTTCCAGAGGAAACCCATTGGGAAAGCAAAACGCTTCTCCGCGCAGACAGGCCAGAATTTCCTTTGTTCGGGTGGGGGGGAGCAAGGGGACGAGGGTACTTTACCCCGAGAGAAAACAATCCGACATGAATAAGGCTGCGTTATTGTACGAGTAGATATGGTGGTCAGGGAAGCAGCAGCAGAGTCTATCAGACCGGTTCTCATTTGTACATTTTCCAGGTCAGGATGGAAGGAAACGAGAGGATCAACGGGCTTAGTTGATGAAACGATAGGGTTTAGGGGTGGTGTTAATGCGATTAGAAAATATTGAAAGTATGTCTGACGGTCCTTTTTGGGGGGGGGAGGGGTTGGAAGGGAGTGATGGGAGTGAGCTACGAGAGCGGATAGAGCTAGTGCTCCGCCGTTGGTCCGTAGCTCACATGTACTAACTACATCACAGGCGCCGAAAGATTGTACGAAGAACGGACATCAGATTTATATATATATATCAAAGGGCGAAAACAAAAAACAAAAAACAAAAAAAAATCCGCCCAAGTCAGCCGGCTCTCAAACTTCAAACTGATCAAGTCCTGGGGTATCCATCTATCTATATCCAAAATACAAGTATAACCAACCAACCAACCAACCAACCATACATCGATCACACCGACGAAAAGATTTCTCCTCCGCCTCTGGTGCGCGATCCGGCACCACGCCATCGTTAAAAAAAAGGGGGGCGGGAGGGGGAGAGGTGTATCTGAAGGCCGCACACCGCCGACAGGTACCTACTCACAAAGATCTCCGATCCTCAAGATAGGTAGGTACATACATCAAGATCAAACCAGAAAAGGGGGGGGGGAGGAGGACATCCATCTCGCTAAGCGCCGCCCAACCCAGCAGCGAAGGTCAGGTACCAGGTCCGGGACGCGCCACCGTCCAAGTAGCTGTCGTCAAAGGCAGGCTGCGCAAAGAAGTTCCAGGCCGCTCGCGGATCGACCAGCGCCAGGTTGGCAAACAACACGCCTCTCCACCCCCCGGCTACGGCATCGGCTCGGCCGTGCGAGAAGAAGGTGTCCCACTCCTCCCGGACGAACTGCCGCGTCCGCGTCAGCGTCGAGGCCGGCAGGAGCGGCAGCATGTGGATGCCCTGGACGTACTCGATGTTCCGGCCAAAGTACGTCGTGTGGTGCATCCGGCTCTCGAACAGGATGCCGCAGACCTTGTTGCCGATGAAGCGCGCCGGCTCGATGCTATTGTCGCTCGCGTACAGGAAGTAGCTCTGCAGCGAGCGGGCCGTGAGGGCCAGCTGCAGGTTGCCGCGGGCCTCCATGTTGGCGTCGCCGGTCGTGCGGCCCCACATCTTGAGCGCGTAGGCGGCCATGCTGTCTTCCGAGGAGGACTCTTCGTCCTTGCCGTCGCCGCTCTCCATGACGCCGTGGGCCCAGGAGTGCCCGTGGTACCAGTCGAAGCTGCGGGACTCGGGGAAGTAGGCGTCGTCGGCCGAGGGGTTGGCATAGTCCCTGACGAGGGCCTGTACCCAAGGCTTGTTGGCAGGGAGCCAGGTAGGGTCGAGGTACCCGATGATGGCAGCGGCGTATACGAAATACCCGTAGCTGCATTGGCACGTCAGTAAGTCATTCTCTCTCTCTCTCTCTCTCTCTCTCTCTTTCCTCTGAAGCGAGGGGGGAGGGTTATGTATATACTGGAAGTGGTGGTCGTTGTACATGGTGTTTCCAAAATCGGCCATGGTGTCACCATTGTACCCCGCAGAAGAGACCAAGCCGCCATAGCTCGAGTCGTAGAAGAGTGGTTTCTGCTGCTTGTTCGAGGTGAATCTGGCGTATGCCCGCTTGAGTTGATCAAGACCGGCCTGGCCGAGCGCCTTGTCGTCAAGCAGGTCGTAAAGCACGTAGACGATTTGGGCATACTTGGCAAGAATCTGTTTTCGTTGGTCAGTCTTGGACAAATTGTTCCTGCAAACTTCATGGCCGGTGGAGAAAGGCGGGTTGGGTTATACCTTGCCACTGAAATACATGGAAACACCATCTGACACTTCGCTCATGTCCTGGGCGACCTCGATCGTAGCAGCGGCATGAATAGCTTCCTTAGCCGAGGCCGAAAGGGCGGCGCTTCCGGGAGCGAATCCCATTGTGGTAGGGAGAGATTCAAGCAACGTCCAGGAGTCAGCCCGGACCAGTCTGGCCATTCCCTTGGTCGTGGTTGCGAGTCGAACGTCTGTTAACCCAGCCGCCGTCTGGGAAGAGAAAGACTGGACGTGATGCGGCAGGGAGAACATCGCCAGGGTACTATCGCCCCGGCCAGCTTTTGTGAACGATAGCGTGTAAGAGCCCTGGGAACCGTGGGCGCTACCGGAGACAGATGCACTCGTCGCGTAGTTCCCGCAGCTCTCGTCGTATATGGCTTCGGCGTCTCCCCCAGGATTCTTCGCTATCTGGATGACACCGTTGAAGTTGGACGTGGCCTTGATGAGACCATTGCCAACAGCTTTCAGCTCGAGCCCTTGTCCGGATGGGGAGTACGCGTAGACCAGCCAGGTCTTGCCGTCTTCCAATACAATCGTGTATTTGGCGACGTCTGGCTTGGGATTGATGGCGGCCCGGGTGAGGGAGCGGAAAAAGACGCCACTGTGAAGAATGGGAGTACCGCCGTTGTACACACCCGTTACGAAGCCCATACCTTGGACAACGGCGAAAGAGATCACGGGAGCGGCGCCGACACGCGGGGACAGATGGATGTTGGCAGAGAATGCAGTGAGGCCATCTCCGGTCAGGGCAGTCGAGGCTCCAAGTTCGAGGGCTGAAAGCACCACGGATTGGAGACCACCCGCATTGACGAAATACTCCGCGGGGTTCCCGCCGCCGAAAGTCTTCATGCTGTCGTCCAAGTGATTGATGGCCAAGCCCCAGCTCTGCGAAGGTCCACCCCCCTTGGCCCAGTTCAGGATGTAGGGGTGCGTCCATGTCGGCTGGGACTGACCGCCCAGGAAGAAGTTCCCATAGAACTTGTTCGTTTGGATGGGAGACTGCTGATTGATTCCGACCTTGGGGGCAGGGTGATCTCCTCTTCTTGGGATGACCGACGGAGGCGCACCAGCCTCGATTGGCTGGAAGATGTTCTGGGCCGTCTGACCCACTGCCACGGAGGGCTCAGGAAGAGTTGGAACAACTGACGCGAGGTACTTGCTTGGTACTGGAATGTACGCGCTCAACAGTGGTGCGAGCGTTGGCTTGCCGGACGTCTGCAAGCTCGTGACGATGGTCCCCTTGGTGTTGGGACTTGTCGTGCTCAGCGAAGGGAGGATCTGAACAGTGCCCGAACTCTCCACCGTGCTGATGATGGGAACGCTGGGGGCGACCCTCGAGGTACTGATCGAGGTAGCGACGGGAGGGAAGGAAACCCCGCTGGTGGTGATGAGTCTGGCGCTTGCTGCTTCAGATGTGTTAGGTATGGAAACATTTTATCGCCTGCTCTCGATAGCAGAGGAGACCAACCCAGTTCTTGCCGTCTGTTGTGCGGCACTGCAGAAGCTGCAAGCGCAAGCATAAGGAAAAGGAGCCACAAAGCCGACGCCATAGTAGGAAGGTACGAAGACGAAACTCGTGACAACCGATGGTGCAGTAGGCGATATACTACTGGGACAAAGATGTTGGAGATCTGAAATGGTACGGGCTTGTTGTGGGTCTTTTTTGAGAGAGGGATTCGACTCTTATGATGTTTATGTTGTGGGGGAGAATGCTAGTTCTCGGCTCATGTCGTAATGGTAGTAGCTAAGGCGAGGTGTGGCCCGGCCCATCCCCCAAGGCTCTGGGAGACCAGGCGTAGGTAGAGTAATAAGATTTAGGTTAAAAAAGTAGTGCGATCTGGAGAGTATCGAAAAATCCGGATCGACCCGGTAAGTCCCCAGGCAGATTAAAATACTAAGTAGCGTCGGGCCAACTGCGGATCTTACCTTTGGTAGTGTCGGAAAGCTGCGAACTAGGCCCATCTACGATCGAGGCCCAAGAACTCCAGCTAATTTCATGAGAGAGCATCATGAACTAATCTTATGAGGCTACAAAGCAGCACCGGTTTTCTTATCGATTCGCTCGGGAGTTAGATCGATGGGAGCGGCCCGAAAGCATAGACGGATCATCAGGTCTACCTCAGGGTCCTACCCGCAACAATAGAGACATCGAGGTCTAGATTCGATAACTGATAATCTAGTCCCTGGGGGACATTGTACACCATTTCAGGCGTGAACTCCAACCAAATGATTCGTTCTGTGGTTCAGACCTCGTGGATACGTAAGTATAGCTAGCTGACTGACGTGTTGTAGGAATAATGACCAAGGCGAACGTTCAATCAGGAGAAGTCAAAGCCCGAACACCTGATGCGCCCGAGTAAAGAAGGCTTGGGTCGCTGATGGAAAGCAGAGCGAGAGCGAGAGTCGGCTGATGACGACGAGGATATCTCTCTGACAGGCGGGAACCTGCCCTCAGGAATTGTGAGCTTCGGTCCTTCTGTACTTGGGATACTGAGTATGATGCACATGCTTGATTGTTTAGCAAGTTGACACACTTGAGCCGATGTGATTGGCGTTGGAAGAGAGCCTCGAGTGTCAGTGTCAGTGTCAGTGTCGATGTCATTGTCAGTGTCAGTGTCATTGTCAGTGTCAATGTCAATGTCACTCGGAATTTGGGCAAGATCCGAGACGCTGTAGAACACACGGGTATTAAATCCCAGCCGCATCGCATTGTGAGAGAGTAGGGCCCTCGCATGCCTGGAATCTGGTCACACGACCGTAGTGGAAGTGAAGAGTGGATATTATAGCCCGGATAGATGTGTAGATGTGTAGATGTGTAGATGGGTAGATGGGTAGATGGATAGATGGATAACTGCCTGGAGTGGAAATCTCGTCGTCTTGTACCACAGAGCAACCTTCCTGTCTCTATGCCCGGAAAACCACAGTCGCATACAACGAACTCAATGACCGGGTTCTCTCTTTGGTACATGCCTCGAGACCTCTCAGCAGTGACGTGATTATACCGACGGAGTGCGTGGTCCCTGGCATCGAGGCAGGTGCGAGTGTCCTACCTATTTCGACCATCAGGAGGGAAGACACAGAGCACTATCGAATAGGTAACATTGTTGCACCTTGGAAAAATGCTCAAATCAATGGGATTTGGGAATCAAATCGTAGTCGATAAGTTTACCGAAGCGAGCCCCTTTCTAGAGCGAAGTCAATAGTGCCAGAAAATACTGTTCTTTGGAGGCATTTGTTTAACACGGCAAATCATCAGACTCCGATACGTTGCACCATCTAAAAGTGTACTGCAATATTCTATTCGAAATCAACATCGTGCGATATTGGTATGCTCATCACCAAGGGCTTCAGTTTCGTGAGCGAATGTGCGAGATCTGATCTGAAATTCAGTGACATCTCAAACTCCGGACACCTACCCAACTAGCCAACTAGCAATAAACCCCTATTTTCATCACTGTACCTTGGATATAATGACATTGGTCCGTAATGCCATATCCATATCCCAAACTCATGACTTTCGGCCACCATTGAGTCTACAAAAGAGGTTTGGACATTGGCGCTATAATGCCCTGCTTAACCATGACCCTCGGCTTGGTCGCATCCTGGAACGTCTCCTTCGTCGACCACTGTGGCCCAATCGGTAATCTTAGATTCCTCTCATACTGCCGCTGCGTCTCAAACTCATGCGGCAACGTCGTGGCCAGGTATTTCATGTTCTGAATCATCGATTAGCACCTGTCCGAGCGAGAATTTACAGATTTGAAGCAGACAAACCTTCTTGATCCTCTTCTCATTGATGATCACCTTCTCCAACTTCGCATCCTTCCTCTTGTCCGCCTTGATTCCATCCACCTTCCTCAAAACCTTCCCCTTGTTCCTTGCCTTTTCCTTCTTACTCAAGCCATCGCCAACCCAGCTCCCCCACCCGGGAAGTGTGTCATCAACGATCTTCTCGTCTTCATCCACAATAGTCTGTCTCTTCTCTGCTTCGAACTCGCCTACGACATCTGCGCCTGCAAAAGCTCGCTTTATAAGTTCGTGATCGCGGATTGCAAAGGGAAGGTGGCCAGGGGTATGGTCGGCCTCGGCGGAATCTGAATCCGAGACAGCATCGTCGAGAATAGTGGATTTTTGGCCAGGAGCTTTGGATTTCTGGGTGGGCTTTTTTGCGACTTTGGGTTTGGGTTTGCTGGTAATGACCGCTGCTAGGGAGAGATCGAGCTCTTCCACCTCAATAGCATCATTTTTCTTGTGGCGACGACGCCTGGCTTCTGCTTCGCTAACGACTCCGGATTTCGTGGTGACCTTGGACCAGGCTCCACCTTCGGTTTTCGGGTCTGGTCGCGAATTTGATAGAGGCTTAACGGCGGCGAGTCTAGACTCTTCCCGGGCCGAAGGCCTAGAACTCTTCGATTTATCGTTGCTGTTGATTTGTAACTCGGGCTCAGCCTCATTCTCCGATCCATGTGCCTCCTCGAACTCGTCCAACTTCACGGACTTCTCTTGCGAAGTGGAATGGCTCCCGGGTCCGAAAGTGCGTCGACCAACATCTCCATCGATTTCTTCACTACCAGAAGACTCCTCTCCCGCAAGTTCTCGTCTCAGCTCTTCGACTGCAGCATCGTTTTGCTTCTTCCGCGCTGCATCCGCCTTGCGCATAAAATCCATATTTGCCAGCCTTGCCCCAGGAAGAGATTCGTCGACAAGGTCCGAGTCTCCCAGACCTCGCAGCTTCTGCAGAAGGCGCTTTCGAGTTCCGGAATTATCATCCTCGTTGGAATCATCGTCAGAGTCGCTAAGGGATTCATCAGAGTCGTTCTCAAACTCCTTTCTCACAGCTCGTCCTTCAACTCTCTTTCGGAGTTCTTCATCCCTGCGAGCCATCTCGGTGATCCCTGACCTGGCATCCTCATCCCAAGCAGCTCGGCCAGTCCCTTTCATAGCCTTTGCCCACTTGCTGTCTCTGTGCTTGGCACCCATTCGTTCCTCGGCTCGTCGTCGATCCTGCTTCTCCATCTCGTCCTCAGAAGGCTCAAATCCGCCTTCCAATAAAGCTTCCTTCTCGAGACGATCCTGCTTCTCTCGCTGTTTACGGTGGACCTTGCGATATGATTTACTCTTGATCTTTTTGATGCGCTTAGACTTCGCCTCTTCACGGAACATCAATTCTCGCGCCATCCGGAGCTGGTCTCTACGTGCCTTGACCTCTCCAATATCAAGCTTCTGTGTCTCAAGCTCTTCGAATTCTCGAATCTTATCCTCGTCATCCTTCCCATCTGCTGCAGCCAGTCCACTCTCTTCTAGAATACTCTGGATAGTAGCTTCAAGCTCATTGAAAGGCTTGAAAAGATTCGTGGGCACGAGAGATTTGTTTGCGTGTGCTGATGCAATTCCATTATCACGTAGAGGGAACATGAGGTGATCGGCTCGCCGGTTATGCTTGACGGTGTCTGTCCATCTGTCCAAAGTCTCCTTGCTCTTATCATAGGCAGCACTGCGATCTAATCGGTCCTGTTGGCGCCTTTCGAGAGGGACCTGAGAAGTGACAAGCTTCTTCTTGGAAGCTATCTTGGACTCATCGGCCTTTGGTTCGCTCATGGCCACGTCGACATCCTCTGATGGCTTTTTCTTGCTCCGGGCAAATCCTGATGTAGGTATCGCATTCGAAGAGGATTCATACTCGTTTCGCCGCTTGGCAGCGGCCTCCTTGTATTCTCGCTCTCCTGAGATGTTTGCAATCATTTTATCAAGAGCAGCTAGCTTTTGCGGATCCAGAGTGTCGTCATCGTCATCGCTCGAGGAATCAGAGGATACCTCGTCACTCCCCTCGCTATCGTCGTCTTCAGATTCGGAGCCAGCCATTTCCTCGTCGCCATCAGAGTCTTTTGCCCGCCCTTGTGCCATGGCTTTCCCAGCGTTCTCGCGATCTTCTTTCTCCTCCTCCAGGACTTGGTCCAAATACGTAGACATATCGATGGCATCCTCGCCGAGATCTCCTTCCTCAAGCTCCGAATCCGAGTCCTCTTCTTCCTCCTCGTCCAAATTGACGTCTCTCTCTCTCTTGGGTTTCTTGATCTTATCTTTGCTTCCGCCAAAGGTAAAACCTTCGAATCTGTCCTCATCACTATCCCCAAATGCATCGTCACTGTCCAGTTCACTGTCGTCCTCGCTATCCACTTGGCCCAGCTTCCACTCATTTCCCTCACTGTCACTCCCCTCGTCCACATCCAGTTCGTCGAAGCGTCCCTTCTTGACCTTGGGCTTTTTCAAATTTTGCTCTTCATCTTCTTCCCCCCCATCTTCATCTCGTTCGTCCCTTCGTCGTTTGTTCGACCTCGAGCCCCCGCCTTCCTGGGCACCGAGTCGACTTTGCCGCACTTTAACTCGATCGGGGTTTTCGTGGCTCGCAATCGCAAAAGCATCTAGGGATCTATTTTTCTTCGAAGCTCTAGCCTTGGGCTTCTTATCAGGCGCGCGCCCATGGGATTGTCGTCCTGCCATGATTGCAAGGTCGAGGTAATTGTTTGGGCATTGCTTGCTTAGTTTGAGAATTCTTGTCGAACTTTTTTTGTGGGGTCGGAGAATCGTATTGCCGTTAGCGCCCGCTAAAACGATAGAGAGGAAACATCAACATTGATGGACCAGACGTGAAGGACCAGCAGCGATCATGAAGCCCACCCAAGCTCTCGGAAAGAAACTCACGCGCCTGGCGCTCACTACGAAACAGACCAACAAGGGATACTACAAGGGAACGGGAACTGGCTCGACTGGACGGCACACGAAGCATGGAGGGTACATAATCGATTGGGACAAAGTCAGGACATATGTCGTACCGGAGAACTTGAAGGATTTCAAGGTACGAGAATCTTCATATCAGAAAATGCGTGAACGTGGTGCTAATTAGCTGTCTGGTAGCTTACGCCGTTTGTTACGAGGAGGATTGAGAAGTCCAGGGGGCAGTTTCCGGGAGACCCCAAAGGGGCGTTCAGCGGAGAGGCGTATTTGAAGAAGTGGAAGGATGAGGGTGGAGAGTCATGATGGAAGGGACTGCGGAATTTTTGATGATTGGTATGCTGTGTTGGTCTTACAACTGGATGAGTGCTAACAACTTTTGCAGATTAAGCCAAGATGTAGCATATGAGCTGGCGTTAGAGATTGTACACCACATTTGCATGGACAGTACTGCCAGAGATACCTACCGGAGACGGGCCTGTAAGTTTCATTATGGCTGGGGGGCGGAGTGGCCAGCCCAAGCGAATAAGGAGTGATGTCTCCCCGAAATATCGAAGCAAGACCATTACAACATGCTTCGTTTAGGTATCACTTAATCGTGAGTATTGCGTCTTGTATTTGGGACAAGAACCTCCTCTGAGAACCCAGCAAGTGCTACTCGAATTAATTTCTATATGAAATACCATGCGGTCGGCAAGCAGCATCTAAAGCCAACTGTAGTTATAATGAGATTTGTCGCAGAGCTACCAAGGATATTTTGATGGATAACATCCCAAAATTGCCTACTCTCCGACGCCCAAATTCAAGGCTTAAGTCGAGTGCCACGTGCTCGTTTTCACAAATCAACTTCGACTTTGATTGCGACCTGCAATGAAAAGTTCTTGAAGGGCCTGGACCGGGTCTCGAAAGTTCAAGGCCACACTCAATTCAATGTCCGAAGGTATCTTGGTAGACTGGAATTTATTTATATCAATAGAACTATTTATTTGGAAAAAGAATCTATAATTATTATTAAGATACAAGCGATTTACAAAAGAAATGCGGAGCATTTAACATTGGAACTTGACGTCGCAACTTTAGGGGCCCTTTCCTGAAGTGGGCGAAAACAAAATGTCTTCGGGAAAAAGGATGTCTTCCGTCGTACTTTTATAATATCACTCGTCTTATAAAGGATAACTGATTATGTGTATTTCACAATCTGATATTGAATGATAGCGCCGACTCATAAAATCATTTTTCAAAACGCTAGCTTATTTATATATTGCTTTATTCGAGATACAGATCATATCGAAATTTGAAGTGTCGGAATTCCAGGCGCTCGAACTGGTTTCAAAAAAACCCCCCCGTGCAAATACACATATATTTCGAGCAAAAAAGATCGCGATAATAAAGAACCAACTCCAAAATAAGATGCACCGATAGCTAAGGACGACGCTGATCAAATTATTCAATTTTCATTTCTACATCTAGAGTCCTTATTAAGTTATTCAAATAATAAACTGAAATTTCGCGGTCCTTGGCGAGTTTTCAAGCTGGTTTTGGTGTGTTCGACCGAAGACGACATCCCCCTAGAGTTGCGACGTCAAGTCCCACTATTATTAGATTGACCGGTACGTAGAAAAGTATAATAAATATTACAAATTTATCATTACTTAATACTACTATCAATATGTGCAAATATAAAAGTACACGCTAGCAATTGAGATCTTCTTAAGAGGTTACATATAACCATCTCTAGTCGCTAAGTTAATTACCTATTTCAAAAAAAAAAAAACATTTAAAAGGCGCCGACGGGGTTAAGATACCAATATAATCGCGGGTCAAAAAGTCGATCGTATCGCTGAAGAGTATCAAAAACCAACCGCAACCCTTGCCTCTGACTTGTACTCCGACCAGGGGTACGATTAACGCAGCTTACCTATCTACCTACTTTTAAACCGAATCAAATACCCGATACGCAGGATTCAGCGCCCAGATTCAAGACTAGCTTTGCAATATCATTGACAAGAAGTTCACGAGCAGTTTCTAGCAGGAACGGTGTTGTATGTTTTTTATTTCCACGCACCAAGAATCTGCTCAAAAAACAACCCATTATCTTTACACAAAAACACAGCTGTCTACCCATGCTTAAGCTCGCACTCATACCAAAGCAAATGCACCCCAGGCAAAAGCAATCCACACGCCACGGCATCCCAGCAGCCAAAAAGCTCCGTACCCCATAATTGTGTTAATAAACCTATGCAATCGTTGCTTGATTTATCTTCCGTGCCAGAATCGCCGTTACCAGACAGCCCGGCTAAGCAAAGTATGACTTCCACAGAACGCCTTCCAGATCTTCTAACTGTTCTGGCGTAAAGTACTGATCCGGAGTCAGCAGAAGTATGAATCAGAAGAGGGGTTGCAGAGGAACGAACCTTTTGGTCAGTGGTCCAGGTATCCTGTCTAGTCTTCTTGAAGTCTGCCAAGATAGTCTTGACTGTCTTACCAATGGCTCCTGCGTCATTAGCTGCCCTAGAAGCCAGCAAGGCCAGAATCTCGGGCATCCAAACTGGTGGTGGAGTCATGTAAGGGAATGCGGTGACGAGAGCACCTAGCCCGAGGACGGCGGCGTGGCGTTTGACAACCTGTTGGTTGTTATTGATAGGCGTGTTAGTGCCTGGTGTTCTTTTGGGCATCGGGTTCTTCCTCAACGCCTCTGTGAACTGCTTCTTGAGTGAAGAGAGGAAATTGTTGCGAAGAGTTATCGGTGAGCAGCGAATCATTCCAGAGAGAGTTGCCGCGGCGCCGGACCGGACTTCGTGCTGCGGATCCTCGAGCATCTCGGCAACGGCGTCGAAGAGGGCCTTTTGCTGGTCTGGCTTGATCAGAAATATTCGCCGAAAGTAGATGGTCTGCATGTTGATAAGAATACGAAGACGTTGGTGCCAGGATATGGACGATTTGCCGATGCGAACCAGTGCCGTGATGAAATCGCCTTCTTGTCCAGCACGGAATGGAATGTTGGGCAGGTGACGATAGACAAGATAGGCAAGACGTTGAAGTTCTGGGTCTTCCTTCACGTCCATCATATGCAACATCTCCTCCATGAACAAGTCTGGGAAGAAATCCACCAGTTGCGTACACTCGTATGACTGCAGTGTTGTGTCGAGCCATAGGAGAACAGTTTTACTGCCGGAAGTATACGAGGATGGAGTTTGCTGGCCAGGACTACGTTCACCACGCCAGGCTTCCAGTCGTCGAAAGACTCCGGTAATAGTCGTGGCGAACTCTTCGGTTGGAGTATAAGGCTGAATACCAATAGAAGATGACGCCTTGTTATCTGCTAAAAGAGTCTCGATATCCGGAAATGCCTCGTAGTATCGTGTGCGGTAAATTGATGCAATGGTACGGCCAATTGCCTCCCGTACGGCTTTGTAGGGATGATCGATATGGGCAAGAAAGTCCTCAAGGATCGGCTTCTCAGCACGGAAATGCCATCCTGCATCTTGGATCACAAACTCTAGGAGCTGGACCTTGGAGCTCTCTTTGAATGCTGCGTTAGATGACATGTCCAGCCGGAACGCCGTGAGCGAGTCAAAGATCTCTCGAGATTGGCGTGGGTCCCTGCTACCAATTATCATATGGAGACAGGTCATCCAGTAGGTGATATTCTCCGGTGTCAGCCCGTCTGCGAAAACTTGCAACAGGATAGGAACACCGTAATCCCAGACCTCTTTGCGCAAATCCTTGGGTTTCGCAATGACAACAATGAGGAGGGCGGCCAGGATTTCCGCCGTAGCCCGATGTTGATGTTTGTCACTACCATCGCCGAACACTGACTTGATCTCTTCCTTGATCTCGGTTAAGGTAGCAACCGTCAAGCCGCTGAGAGTATAGTCGAATATTTGTATCAACAAATTAACGTGATGTCCTCTAAAACGGTCTGCAGTTGCGTCCCGAGGTTCTTGTTTCATGTAATCAAAAAACTTTCTATACCATTCGATAGTAATCATACTTCCGATTTGCTTTCTAACCGAGGTCTCTAGCTCATCGTAGTCATCAAATACGAGCGGCGGATTTCTGACAGCGCTGAAGGTCTTGCCCCAGACAAGCCATCCGGGATGGTCTCGTTCAACAAAGTATTCCGGGGACTCCGGACTCTCAAAACCATCTAAGAAATCCTTGGTCCAGTTCGGGTTGCTCTTTTGCACAGCGACTTCTACTTTGTTGATAGAATTCTCCTTTTCTCGAACCCAGTTCTCGACACTGTGGCCGTAAATAGCACGAGTCTCGATGTGGTTGAAGATACGGGTTAATGATTCTCCATAGCCAGCCCGAAGTCCCGGGTGTTCATCGATAGCACCAGTGACTGCCAGCTCTACGAGGGACGGCGATGCGAGTGTTTGAATTCGGAGCCCCGCATTGAGAATAAACAGAGTGCATCGTTGAGCAATCTTCCAGTGAGACTTCTTAGAAAGTTCAATAAGCTTCAGTGCCATGGCTTGCTTTTTTTCTTCTACCTTGTTTCTCCGCTCCAGGATGAAAGAATGTCTGGCGGTGATATCGGCTGAAATATCGTCCCTGGGCTCGAACACATCTACTAGCTCCTGCTTGATGACGATGGTGTTCTCCAGAGATTTGCCAAATTCCATTAGACCACCGTATAGAGCACTGCTGCTGACCCTTTGGATCGAAGGCTTATCAACCGATCCACATTTGATATAGAGGTCGACCAACTCAGGAGCAAAACGCCAATCCTTGGAAAGTGTCCTGGTAAGGCTTCCGTATAGCAAAGTGTATAGTGAACCTTTAATGCGATCGTAGTCGTTAGTCTCCAGCGCGACTCTGAATGTCTTCAGAAGCTCAGGAATGACCAGAGGGCGACCACCAAGTAGACTCTTCAACGCGGATTCAAGAGCAGCTTGCGCATTCACACGAACCTCGGCGTAGGATGACACGGCCGATGAAGCCAAGTCGAGTAGAAGTCGCTTGTCAAGATCCGACTTGTGCCTAGCCGAAGAGTTATGTTTTACTCGGTGGAAATGATAAATGCTTGCTCGTTTGATAAGGAGAGGTCTCGGGTACGGTTTCCGGAGCCCACTACACTTAAAAGCTCGGATGTCCACATCGTAAAGTTTGCTCACTCGCTCCAGCATATGAGCAGACCTCTCATTGCCTACATCCGTGATCCAAGTTCTGTAAGTCTGGTATAGAGAGGTGAAACAGGCGACGTCGTCTTCCTGGAACTCGCCCAGGAAATTGTGCACTCTGGAAAGCAGATAGCCTATATCCTCCCGAAGCTTGTGGATATGTTCAAATATTGGACTGCCCTTCTCCAGCAGATAGCCATCTCGATAATGGAATTGAGGTCGGGTTTCCGCATCCTCTGCTGCTTCGGACAAAGGGCTCTCATCTTCATCCGAAGCTTCGCCCTCGGCCAGCGCAGTATCGCCATCCCGGTCTTTGCTTGTCTGGCCAGAGGACTTCTTGGGATCAAAGAGTGTGGCAACTCCGGAGACCATGAGTCGTAACATGGAGAGGTGCCTCGAAACTTCATCCGACCATTCCTTGTTCTTGCCTTTCCTACTGACATCGGGGTTCTCACTAATGAGATTCGTCAATCGTTGAATTGCATTAGTCACTTGAGATTCGAAAAGCTCGACCGCGAACTTGATCTCTTCATCGGACGGAAGATGCCACTTGATTGTGAGGTCGTTGGGGTTGACGAGTTTTCCCCAGTCGCTCACATCCAGACCGCGCTTGAAAGTCTCAGGCTCATATAAAGCACTGTCCACGGGGTAGATCAGAGTCAGGTTGAGCAGAAGATGGTGGATGTAATTTGACGCGTGGATAGTTGGAATGCCCCGACACTTCTCTTGCATGTACAAGGCAATGTCGAAAAGACCCTCTTTGTACGGCATGAGACCATCTCCAACGTGGACTATGATCATACTAAGCATGCTGATATACCAGACTAAGGCACGATCTCGAGGAAGTAAGTCGCTACCAGCGCTTCGGTCCGAGGCAGCATCGTTGTAGTCGATCTCATTCCGGATGCCTACAATGAGCATAGGAACGAAAATCTTCAAGGTCTTCTCCGGGTTGGCCTTGCAGAGCGCATTACAAATAAAAGCCATTGCATCTCTAGCTTGGTGAACTACGTGACTACTCACAAAAGCGGCAATTTTCTCAAGAGCCTGATCGAAGATCTCCGGAGAAAGAGCAGCAAAGAGCGGAGTGAGCGCTGATGGAAGCGTGTTCACCACGCTCTCTTCAGGCGACCCCGAGCGAGCTTTTGATAGCTCGGGAATGTTCTCCAGGAGTGTGAATATCTTGCCAAGTAATGACAAAACAAATTCGCCGAAGCCGGCCGTGGAAGAGCGTACGATAGTTTCTTCGTCTTCATCGCTCAATTCGATTCGGTAGTCAATATCAATGTTTGGCCCCACGTCTTCCATTCGTTGCATCTCGCCTTGGACCCATTGGATGGCCAGCGAAGAATCATGAATCTCTCCATGCTCTTTAGTCAAATCAATGAATGGTACGCTATACGCAACTGATTGGATAAAGTTCAAGGTATGCATTGTCTTTTGGAGATCATTAGCATCGATGCCGGGTAATGCCAGAGCCAAGAGAGCAGTAATATGACATCTCAGGCCCTTACTCTTGGACATGACATTGGCGATCATTTGTAATCCTAAGAGCGAAGATTGTGTTCGATGTACTTCAACCAGGCCCTGCAAGGAGGGGTAGAACCTCTGCAGAGCTCCAGGTACTATCAAATGAGGTTCCAGGTATGAAAGGCCTTGTATAGCACCGAAGAAGAAGCTCATGGCCTTGGGCTTCTTACAGAAGAGACCCAAGAAGACAACCTCTTTCAGACATAAGACGAACCGTTTCTTTAGTTCTTCCGTGATTCGTCGTTCTGGAGGTGTAACCATTTCCCCACTCTGCTCTCGATTCCAGCGCATAACGAAAAAGTCAACAAGATGGTAGACAATCTGTGCGAGCATATCTGTCCAAGCACCCTGGTTCGATGGATGGAAGAACGTCTCAATAGACTCCAGCAAACCTTCCATGTTTGATAAGATTGAGCCAGGCTTGTCTATGCAGGCTGGCGATAAAGACATCACGATCCACCGAGCAACCGAGTAGCCGACGGGAACTTTTTTCTTGTCTCTCTCGAGATAGGCGCCGAGACCAGCGCCAAGATCAACCATAGAGCTGTAGGGAGATGTGGCTTGCCCCACAGGTATTTCAGTCAGTCTCAACAGTGCAGTGAAAATGAGGTCAGATTGATCCTTTGTAAAGATACCAAACTCGGAGAACGGCACATGCTCGCTGGTCAAAGAGTCTCGTGCAAGCCTTGAAAATAGATCGAAGAACATCACGTCACAGGTTTTCGACCGGTTCACGAGAGACCATAGGTGGAAGAAGGTGGGAAGGTAATCTTGGGGCTGAAGTTGTCCGGCTCCGTCAGGTGCTGCGTGAGTCGGCATCAACAGGTTCAGAGCACCAACGACGATAAAAGCGCCTGAGATATCCGAGGTGGTGAAATACGGCAAAAGCTCCTCGAGCATGGCTTGGCGGTCCCTCGGATCAAAGTACTGCGAAGCAAACATGCACATGTTGGCAATGCTCTTGTAGCTTCGCTTGCGACCTCCTTGTTTTGGAGGTGATTCCTGGGGAAGGACTAAAGCTTTGATTTCCTTCCATAGCGGCCTCCAATCCAATATCAGATCCTCTCCAGGTTTGAGGTAGTGTTTCTTCCTGCTCAACATTAGTGGTTGGGAAGAATATTCTGATCAGGCCTGTCCTTACTTGATCAGAAATCGAAACATGCTTTCGAATCTTTCTGCAGCTAACCAATCTAGCCCAGGCGCCACAGCTAGCATGTAATACATCTGTACTAGCTTTATCCGCAGCCCCCTCGTGATCTCGAACTTGAGGTTCAGCCATCCCTTGAGCTCTCTTGTCCAATGCAAAGCACCTGGTGATATGTCCTCCGCCTTGAGAGCAACGTAAAGCTGCGTCAATATCTCCGTCAAGGCTGCGTTACGTTCCTTCTCTTCCTCGACAGGGTAGGGCAGGAGTTGGAAGTATGGGTAGGTTCTGGGTCGGTATCGCTTCTCCTTCTCCGTATCCACTCCGTTGGAACTGAATCCTAGGCCAGGTGACGTCGCACGCGATATTGCATCGTTTGATTGAGCATGAGCCATGCCCTGCAGGACTTGCGCATGGTTACGACTATGCGTGTAGGCCTCCTCCATGGTCTCCTCGCACGATGGGCCCGGCGGAGCTCGAAATGGGGTCGCCTGCCAACTTCGGCCGTTTTTTTGCGAGAGTGTTCTGCAGGCATCGTGGTGATGTTAGCATAGTAAATGCTAAGCCAGATGGAGGAGCTTATGCGTGATACGAGAGAGAAGAGCTAGATAGATACCTAAGGGGGGAGGGGGAAGAATGCAGAGCTTCTGGCGTGGCAATGAGCGTGCAGTGCAGACCACGGGCAGATACGAGGTGGATGGGATGGGATGGGATTGTTTATGGCGACGAGAGAGATCCCACGGTTCGCGTAAGGGAAACCGGATATGTAACGTAAAGTAAGGTAAGGTAGCTGGGTAGCTAGGATGGTATTTGGTAGGTTCGTAGGTTCGTAGGGTCGTAGGGTCGTAGGTTGGTAGGTTGGTAGATTGAATCAAGCTAGATACTAAACGCGAGGCGTGGGAGCCTTGTTGACCGATACAGTACGTACTTTGTACCGAAGAATAGCCGAAAGTACCTAGGTACCTAGGTAGGTACGTACCGATTGGGGGTATAGAAAGATTATAATATAATATAAACAGACTATTATTTCATCTTCGAGTTACAACAGGCAAGACATCTTATCTATGGATCTGTCTACTACCGACCTACGGGTTCCATGATATCTATGAAAACCGTGTTTTACGAATACATGGAATATTCACTATCCCTGCCCGCTGATATCCAGATGTATTGTATTGTGTTGCATTTCATTTTACCTACCTATATGTATATACGCGCATAATTGCCCATCCTGATTCTCCCACTACTTCCTACCTGTCGGCAGCAAGTTGCCAGCAACACCCGAACGCCTGATATAGCCTTTCCTTCTGACACGGACGGGGCGCAAAATCCGGACCTCGTGGGTATTCTGAACGATGATGCAAAGTCGAGATTAATTATTGTAACGTAATGCCATAATACGCCGCCAACCACTTAAGCGCTCGAATCCGAGCCCGCGCCTTTCTTTGTTCGTCGAAAGCAATCTGCAAGTCTCGTCCATTTTCCCAGATTCTGTTTCACATCATGGGTTCGATTCGGGCCGAACCTTCTTCTAGCGGCCGGTTGCTGAGGCGCCTCTTGGAGAGAGCTACCTGTAGTCGGCTGGTAAGATACCGGGCGTTTCTGAGACTGGGTGGTTGTCTCGGGGGCTGTCATTGGCGAATCGACAGCAACAGTCAATGGCGGAGTTGCTAATCGCCTGTGGCCGTTGGCATCGTCGCTCTGGATAACTCGTTTTTGGGATTCCATCATGCTCTCGCTCTCGCCCTCGCCCTCGCTCTCGCTCTTCACGGTACTGATAGCGTTGCCGGCTCGTCGGGCAGCCCGTTGCATGAAGGCGGCACCAGAGGAGGCGGCCCGTTTCGGCTTGGTAGGTAGCCGGTCAAATTGAGGTGAGCCTCTGTTCTCAGGGGACCTGATTCCAGACGCTCTGCGGATTTTCCCGCCGAGGACCGACCCAAGGCTGCTGCGGCACGATTCCGGCATGCTTGCCACGGTTGGAGCCGGGCTTAGACGACCGGAAACAATGTCGTGAGCACATGACGTTGACTTACGGTTAGCGGAACCAGGGCCTGTTTGGGCATGCGGTAAAGTCACCGTGTCGTTATATTTAAAGCACTGCGACCATCCTTGGCGTAAAGCAACCCAGATTCCAGTTACTCGAATAATCGTCTTCATATCCTCCTCCACGACAATGACTTTCCGCTCGAGTGCAGCGTCACCTTCGCTTTCTTCAGCCTCCTCACCGGAAGTTCGAAACGCAGAAGAAGTGGGCGAATTTATGCCAGCTGAAGATGAAGTCGTTGTGTAAGAGTCTGATATATCAAGCCTGTTTGGGGTAATGGTAGCCAGGATAGGATGCTTCCGCCGCCTAGGATCAATCATGCTAAACGTAAATTTCATTTCCCTGTTGGCATTCATTATAGTTTCGGGGCTATCCGCTGTACTTCGCCTGTTTTTCGCCATCACCCAGCGAGCAATGGTAGTTTTGCCTTGAGCGTCTGTTTTCTCAAATTCGTAGGGCCCATTCGGCCCGTTCAAATTTGGAGAACAGGCCCTGCCGAAGAACGCGAAGTCAGCAAACGATCTTCTTTACACCGCTTGGGGGTAACCATTCTAGGGAGCCAACTGCTACTGGCACACTCGAAAGAAGGGAATCAGCTACTGCTTCATCACTAACCAGACGGTGCCGTCGCTTAAAACTGCCTCAGCCTTCCCCTGAGAGCCGCCAGAGTCCTTGGGCATTTGACAAATGACAGCCACTAGCTCCCGATCGAGTCCGTCTTCGTCAGAATCACCCCCCTCATACTTGTTCTCGACACTTCCTTCATAGACCTCACTCTTCACGACCATAACATCGTTGCATCCTAATTCTGCCTTGCTCCTGAACATTCGAGGAAACCGCGTTCGAAGCCGTGGAGCGAGAGTCGTGGAAGGAAGGACATCGAGGAAAGGCTTTGGTCTTGCGGTAGCCGATATCTGCTGTAATTGTAGCAATAAATTTGGGCGAATATTCAGCTTTTGGGAGGCAGTCGGGGCCGGGTGAGCTAGCTGAAAGGTCGTGCTTGTTCGCACGGATCGCTTCCGCCGGCTGGGACCTCCTGCAGTCGTCACGCTTGCTTCGGATCGACCATCTTCACTCATTCTGTCCTGTTCCACTTCTTGGAATCTGACAATGGGCGAGTCCCTTGCAGTGGATATCTCTGACAATGATCTCAATGGTCGACGTAAAATAGGAGACGGATTTCCAATAATGGTGGATGTAGTAGGTACTGGTGCGGAAAAAGCTGATCGGGATAACGGGACTCGAAGAGAACTGCTTTGTAGCCGTGGGGAATGATTCGGAAGTTCATTGTACTCGTGCGAGTGGAAACGGGACCCAGTGTGCAGCAACATCTTGACAACTTAGGAAGCGACGCCCCGGGATTGGGGGGCGCCTTCCGCTCAAAGCACAGCGCGCACGCTTCAAACGATATTTTTGAGCGTCGGGCAATAGATGATGAGCAAAAATCGGGATAACTCGAGGGCATTGAGGCGGAGATGATGGAGGGCCGACGGTCAAGCGAGAGTCAGCTAAGCTGGCAAGAGGGATTTGATTAGTATATCGAGATGGTGAGAAAGAGGATGACCCGCGATGTATATGTTGGATAGGGTATATTATGACAGATAGCAAGCCCGGTCAGAGAGGAAAAGTTCGAGACTCAAAATTGGACTCGACGGGGTGCAGGGTATTCGCTCTCGTCAGCAACGAAACAACACAAACAACAGCGCCTCCTTGCCGGGATGATCGAAGCAGATTGGGTGGTTGGGTTCAGGCCAGAGGGATTGAAAGAGAGCTATAGGGAGAAGCAGATGCGCAGACGCTGGCGAGCCACACCGAGTTTGTCCGCATCAAGTCGTTTGGGATCGGAAGGCTAGGAAGATCAGCACAAGCATAGTCTTGATCGACCAGTTGGACAGACAGATAAGAATAAACGGTACAAACAATTAACGGAAAGTATACTTAGTACGGGCGGTCAGTTAGTACTTCTGATTAGAGTGCCCGAGCAGCGGCAATGCAATGCAATGCAATGCAGGACAATGAATGCGGTATGATAAAAAATCATACAATGTTTTGAAATAGGTAAAGTGATGTGTTGTATGCGTATGCAGAACAAGAGCCGCTGCCGGCAGTGAGTGGTGGAAGGTTGACGAGAGATATATGGGTTGGTGGTTGGGTGTTTGACGCCTCGGGCGCCAGAGAAGGCGAAAAGAAAGAAAAGCAGAGAATTGGAATTGGAATTCGTCCAGCATTAACTATGCTTGATTGAATAATAACATTTCATCTGGAAATGAAGCACTTTCAGATGGTACTTAGCAACCAGGATACCTAGAGAAGAGATGGATTCGGCTTCGGGAACGCCCCGTTTCCGATGAACAGATGCGAGGTGCGAACGAATTAGAGCCCACGTGATATTCGCAATAGTCGCCAGTCACGAGTCACATATCACGCGCCTCTGTCCATTCTACCTCCCCTACATACCTCCCTTACCCCTACCTCCCACATCAAACATCTCGGCATGCAATACGCCTCCGCGCTGTTAGATCGGCCTCAAGAGCATCCTATCCGCTCTCTAGCCACCCTCTATCTCCTCTGGAAGTCTCTGCTCCTACTCGTTGCAGCGTGCAGTCCAGGTCCAGGCTATGACACCTCGGCCAGCCTTACACAACAGCCGCTTAGCTACGACAGAGAATTGCCTTTGGCTCTTCGCTACATCCTGACCAAGTTGACCAGATGGGATGCCCTGTACTTCGTCAAGATCTCGACCCGAGGCTACCTGTTTGAACAGGAATGGGCCTTTGGGTGGGGTTTCACGCGAATCATTTCAGCCTTCACAGCAGGTGGGAAGGCATATATCAATCACCTTACCCGCTAAATGGGCTGGCTAACATTTTAATAGTTTCAAAGGCCATTGGCGTTCCGGATTATGTTGGTCTAGAAGGGCTGGTTGCAGTATGCATCGCCCATGCTTCCCACCTGCTGTCTGTCCTGGCTGTCCTAGCCCTTACCCGGGCTATCTTCCCTTACTCCTCGTCTGAATTTGCTTTCAAAGCTGCTTTGCTACACATCATCTCTCCCGCGGGTCTTTTCCTTTCCGCCCCGTACGCCGAGAGCTCTTGCGCCTTCCTGAGTATTGTCGGCTGTTTCCTCTTCACAAAAGGCGTAGTCCATCCAGGGCCAGCCACATCAAGCCACGACCTGTCCATTCTGATATCTGGCATCTGCTTTGGCATTGCCACGACTTTCCGGAGCAATGGTATCCTGAATGGACTGCTGTTACTCGAGGAAGCATTCAGAACTGTATATAGATTACGGGATGGGCCGAGCCTGGCTACTGTTCGTCGCCTGATGGCTACAGGATTAGGTGGCATGAGCGTTGGTGCTGGCTTCGTTGTGCCGCAGTACATCGCATATATTGAGTATTGTAAGGGTCAGCAGTCTGTTGCAAGAATCTGGTGTGAAGGCACTTTACCCAGCATCTATACATTTGTCCAGGACCATTACTGGTATTTTTCCCCGTCATCGACCCTTCACAAACCGGCTCATCTAATATTGCATAGGAATTGTGGCTTCTTTAGATACTGGACATTATCCAATGCGCCACTGTTTCTCCTCGCCGCACCCATCCTTGTGATCTTGATAGCATCCAGTCTTTGGGCCTTGAGCGTCGAACCCCAAACACCTGGACAGCCGCCGGCTCCAGGCGCGAAAGGGGTGGACATAAACACCGGGGCAAGGCAGGTCCTACGCAATCTAGCAGTCTCTCAACTGGTGTTGGTACTGCTTACAACAACCGCTGCCCACGTCCAAATTATCACAAGGATATCATCAGCGTACCCTGTGTGGCTGTGGTATGGGTCTGCATCGTCAATGGTAGGAGGAAACTTGTTGGGAGAGAATTTTGTGAAGTTCATGATCATATATGCTATGATACAAGGGGGACTGTTTGCCTCTTTTCTCCCTCCGGCCTAATTCTGCATACTAGATTACAGAACACTTTTGTTCCGCTAAATATCGTTCTCACAGGAGTTCTTCGAAACCCTGCTTGATTAGACTTTCAGGTAGCCTGGGGTGCTCTTACAGTACTTCCGGTATCTATTCGAACTTGAAGCAAAGAAAGTATAGTAGATCGAAGCAGACAGCCCCATATAGGAAGGAAACCGCTTACTCCATACATTGTGATTTTCAAAAGAGCATTTCTGATTCTCATACCTATCTACTACGTCCCAGGCGTAAGTGTTACCCCTCGAGGGTAGGGTAACCAGGGGGTTTAAAGTGGAAACTTAACTTTTGAGGCACCCTCGAGGGGTAATACGTAGTACTACCTTACGCCTGGGACGTAGACAAGAAAATGTGACGCTTTAACCCGGCCGCAAGCTAAAACTTACGGCGGAGTAATATTCGTAGCTACGTAGTATATAATCTATAATAATAGCTTCTTTTAGCGCGATGCAGCCAGCTATCTCTTGAATATTTATATAGCCCTTTTTCTTATAGAATAGCCCTTTTCCGCGCGATGCAGCCAGCTACTTTTCGAGCATCCAATTTATAGCAATACCGTAGCCTCTCTTAAGGCGATATAGCAAGCTGGTTTTCGGGCATTTTTGTTTTTGTTATTAATTATGATTAATTCGCTATAGCTACTAATCAAGTATTCGAAAGGAAGTTGCAATCGCAAAGTAGATTACAATCGCAAAAGCGCAAATCTAGCTCGTTACATTCGTAGGATTCCCTTTTTCGTTATTAGTAAGCAGTTAATCAATTTTTTAATGTTCCTCGATGGCCTAAGCTTAACTGGATACACCCAATCAACGTTATGGCCGTAGGTCATGTGACCGAATTTTTAACAGTTTCCGGTCTTAGCCAGGATCTAGGTAGCTCAACATTACCTAGTAGTATATTAGATACTTTTTGCTAAAATGCATCTACTACGGGAGCCTTCCGTGCGGAGAGCTTGCACGGTCCCGGGTCCACATTCCGCCGCCGATGTCATTTGGGTTATTCCGAGGTAGCTCCTAGCACCAATGCCGCTTACCGCCTGACAGGCGCTTAGCCGCATCTACTAGCATGTCAAGTACGGCAGATAAAGATACTTCAATTCAACCCAGCTAACAAACCCAACTTCTTCACACTACTACATCTTCGCTTCAGTTTCATTACTCGAAATAGGAGCGCGCTACTCCACAAAAAGGACCCCTACGACTTGCGCGACCCTTGTGGTGCGTATAGCGCGTGGCACAGAAGGATTCCCTTACCAATAAAACCTAAATACTTCTTTCTACAGCGATATCAGAACGAATGCTGTCGAAACAGAATAATCCCCGCCAATATCAAGTTTGGTCTATCTAGCTGCTATGTGGAACAAAGAGAATGGGTACGGTCAGAACGGCCAATGTCAGAATAATCTCCACAGACAAGAGGAATATCTAGCCTCGCCTTTCGCCGCTCGGCCCCTTAATGGACAGTCGCAGTGTTTCTTGCCAAATCCCAACTCTCAACATCCAAACATGATGCAGCAGCAGTACGATGATAGCGATGGCAAAATCCTCCAACCTGGAGCTGAAAGGTACAAAAATGGACCGTTTGTGCAGCATCAAACCATTCCTCGGGGATCTCAAGTAAGTGGTTGTGGGAACGGAGACATAGGAAAATCCTTTGCTTCTGCTGCACCCTCGAGTCTATGGCTGACGTACACTTATTCCAGCTCTCACCTCCAGCTTCTCAGCTCTCGTTCTCTGCTTCTGAGATTCCCCCAACAGCCCCGACCACAAGAGCTACAATTGCTATGGATGATAATGCCGCAAGAATAAAGGCATTATTGCTGGCAAGTCTGGGTAAGGGTAAAGAGGATGTGACAAAATCTACCACTCCGCCAGTCACAACCCCCTCTCTGGCCGGCAATCACAAAGCAAGTGGCGAAGCTTCAAACTCGTTGCGAGGATCCCTGAAGTTGTCAACCACGACCCCTAAGAAAGAAGACATCGATGAGTTCGTCCGCGAGGCTGCAGCTGAGTCTGCAAATTTAGGGAAGAACTTTACAAAGCCTGAAACTCCGAATGTTCAAAAAATACCAGTGCACACTGACGCGAAGTCGCAAGCACCTTCGTTAGGAAGCCCTACGAATGCTACCAAGCCAGTCGCCAATACGAGAACGAACAAGTCTACACAGGTTAAGAATAACTTGAATGGAAAAACAATCGCGGAGAGGCATGCAAGCAACGAATCTATTTCAGAAGGAGAAATACTCGAGGAGAAGGAACCAATAACCAAGAGACTTGTATCCGGAACGCCAAATCAGGTACAAGTGTTCGGAAAGGCTCCCAAGATTGATATTCCAGTGCCCCGCAAGCCCAGAGATGAGCGAACAGACAAGCCTGCTTCCCTTGCCCATCCACCCCGGGATGAGTCTTCTCGACTTCCCCCAGCTCCCAAGTCACAATTTCAGCGCCACAACCGCGACGATCGTCATGAAGAATGTGCTCCACGCCCCGAAAAGCAGGGATATGACACTTACAAGCCGAATAACGAGAGCGATAGAAAAGCATATACTGAACCTGAAAGACCAGCATATCAACGTCGAGACAATCGTGAGGAGGAACACCGCAGAACAGAGCCTACCGAGCAGAGACAAGAAGAGCTTCCTAACAGACAGATTCGAGAGCAGAAACCACCCACGCTTGACGATCTCCTACCTCTTGACGAAGATCTACGAGATTGGCTAGAGATTACAGGTTATCATAACGCTCCCTACAGAAGCAAGATTCTCAACCGCCGACGTGCTATCGCTGCTCTGGACGCCAAGAGGGACCAACTTCTTGCAGAGATGGAAGCAGAAGAACGAGGTGGAATACCCGCATCTGCTGGAGGCCAAGTCCCAGCTTCCCCAATGCTACCCCCACCCCTCCTTAACAAAGCAGTTGGTCGTCTTGAGCCTGTTTCGTCAACGCCAGCTAGAGATTCTTCCGACTCGCAGCTTCAACGAGTGGCTGTTCACAAGCGTCCTTACAGCGACGTTCAAGATTCGAGAGGAGAGCCTGCTGCCGGGAAATTCGCTCGTACCGAGGGTCGGGCATATGTCGAGGAAGAAGGCCTAGATCGCCGTCCACGCTCCAGTGGCTTCGATCGCCGCGAGAGAGATGATAATCGTACCTACTACGGACCCAGATCTCGTAGCCGAGACCGCGGCGATTCGCCAGGCCGTGATGGTCGTAGAGCATATGAGAACAGATCATCTCCTCGCGGTCGTGGTTTCGGGTCAGACAACATGTACGACCGAGAAGATGTTCCGGAGCGAAGTGCACGTTCTTACCAGGTCCGAGGCAACTACAGAGGCAATGCTTATGACCCAAACTTTCGAGGCCAAGGACGAGCGCGCGGACGCGGACGTGGTGATTACAGGGACTTCAACAGCGGACCGAGGAACAAGAGCGAAGGTGGATATGGGATGACAATTGCAACTGGGAAGCCATTCAAGGACCCTGTGGGCTTTGATAGGGGAGGCAAGGGAGGTCCGTCCTATCTCTGAATCTCCTCAATAGTACCTTCACTTTTGCCTCTGCTGTAGGAGGATTGTCACAATTACATATCGTCCTATTACTATCATGATTATTGTCCTTGTATTATGTATAATTGTAAATCAGAGTTGAATGAACATTCTTGAAGTCTCTGTGCTTCTGCGAAGTCTATGACAAGTGTCCTCTATTTGAAATGCGCATCCTTATTGATTTCATTGACTTGCTTTTGAATTTCTTGAAAAGGTTGTAAGGCACTGTATTAACCGTGCACAGAAACCAGATATTTCATCGTAAAGTCTTTCAACGAGGAGAATGTTCTTCGATGCATTCAAGATGTAAGTATTTCTACTCATCCCATGATCCCCATCAAATTGCTAAAGAAAAATCAAGTCTGTCTGGACAACTCAAGTCCAAAACGGACACATCTTCAAACGAGCCTTCGAAACCTGCAAGAATGTCATCCTCGTCTTCTCAACCAACAAAAGCAAAGCCTTCCAGGGCTACGTAAATTCCCTCTCCTCCGCCTCCTTACAATTACAAGCTAAGTAGGCACAGGCACGCATGGAAGGCCTCCCCGGCTCAGCCGCGATTACCCAGTGGCAGCGCGTCATCACCTGGGAGTCCGCTGGGGCATTTAAAGTAAGATGGCTCGTGGTTTGTCCGACCTTCTTCCACCGCGTCGGCCACCTTAAGAACTCGCTCAATGAAGGTATGGCTGTGTTCATCGGCAAAGATGGCCAAGAAATCGAAGAGAACTGCGGGTCGAAGCTCGTTGATCTCATTGATGAGGAATTCGATGCCGCGACAGGCAGCTGGAGCAGAGACTATGGGAGGTTCAGCGACGCCTATTGAAATAACGCGTTGATGTGGTTGGTGATAACGAAATTACGTTGAGCATGTGAAAAGAAGCATGATTTCTTACTACTTTGCAGGAGTCGAGATGCCGTAACGCATCTCGCTTATCAGTCAAAAATTCACGAGTATTGTATGTACATTTAAGATCAGTGCGAGCGAAGAATCAACGCGCCGTCATTGAATCAACGGATAGAAAAAGCAGTGCTGAAAATCCATCAGGTTGCATAAAGTGAAACCCGACTGTATCCCTAGGTCCCCAAAGGTCCAAAATTTCCTTCCCTCTTGCGCCCTACTTCAAATCACAGTTGACAATCTAACCACCAAAATCGCTCGAACCTCATCCGCCCCATACAACAGCCAAAAAAAAACAGTAGGACGACAATCTCATCTCTCGCTTGCTCATCGCTGCAAACCTCATCTACTAATCCGCTATTCCGTCAACCCTTCAGACTCTTGCTCAACGCGATGATGGGGTCTAGCTTAGCGGCCACCCAAGAGTCTGCAGCACGAAATACATAGGGGGGATCCCACTTATGCAGATAATCGCTTGCGACGAGAAAGTCCATGTAAAGCCTGGTCTTATTAGTTCCCGTCAAACGTCCACAAGTCCAGACATGAGGGGAGAAGATGAGTGATTGGCAAGTTTGCTTACCTGACTTTTCAATCCAGGCGTAGACAAACCAGGGACTAACGAATGCGGAGACCTGTTGCTGTGTGAGTAGGAGGTACGATGGCGGTCCGGGCATTTGCAGTTGGGGAATGGGGAATGGGTGGGAACTTGCATTTACGAAAAAGGCGTAAAAGGCTATTGCGGATACTGCATGGTCTTTGCAGCCGTCGACGAGGTAGGCAGCGAGCGTGGCGGTGCCGATTTGCAAGCCTGCTGCGTCTGAAAACCCGAAAAATACGAACATGAGTAAGCTCATTTCAAACATCATGATCCTACCAGTGCTCACAGGGAACTTACAGAGAAATATGCCACACTGGCCCGCCATCCAGTGCCAACTCTCGGCAGCCGAGAAGCCCCATACAACGAGACCGATGGAAGAAAAGACGGCTGCTGGATAGCCTAGCCAGAGTCTCATTCCGTGATGGCGAGAGCCTTCGTATATCCGGGTAAGTCGACGAACGACGGCATCACTGGCCCGACCGGAGAAGACCCATTCTGCTAGTAGTGCGCCGAAGACCAGGCCTAGCACGAGCAGGCCACGGATTCGAGGCTGGAAGTCTCCATAGGCGACTGTTTGAGCTCTTAGGACGGCGAACACCCTAGCAGGTTTAACTTCTGTATAGCACTTCCTGGATTGGACTCACCACCAGTACTGGAAGAACACAAAGGCGCCAACGCTCATTGCCAAAGCTGGAGATGTCCACGTCTTGAAGACTTGTGTAATGGCGGAGCGTGGGTTTGGATGATCGATCCCAGGTACGCTAGCGAAGTTGAGGAATGGAAGTTGTCTAGTTCGCTTCACAGCTTCGACCGGTTCGCTGCTGCTTGTACCGCCAGGGGCACTATTCTGCTCACTGGACGCCACATTGGCCCGTGGATAGAGCGTCTCAGGGAGCAAGGCGATCTCGAGGATGAGGAGGACGCCGAAGATCATGGTCAGATGATACGGTAGCCATTTATGTTCAACGGTGTTGAGGAGACTGCCGACTATTCCCATTCAGCACGTCCTAAAAACATGATGGGCAGTATCTGACCTACCTAATTGCCCGACCAACAGTCCTTGATTCCCTGCCAAAGCCCACACCCCGACTCGGAACCCACGTTCATGCTCCCAGGTCAGATCATTCACAATGGCCAAGCCGACGTTGGCTGCTGGTCCCATACCAAACCCCTGGAAGAAGCGAGCTGCAAGATAGCCGCTCAAACTAATGCCATTGGCCGAAACCAATGAGGTACACCCACTTGCCAACAAGGCGATGGCTGTACCAGATACCATGACAACCCTTCGGCCATATCTGCTTGCGGGTACTGGGGCTAGTAAAGGACTGATTGCAAGCCCCAAGGATGGGATTCTTGAGATCCAGTGCAGCTGGCTTTCTGATGCTTGGAAGTGGTTGCTGAGAAATAGTGATGGGTCTGAGGCGATCGTTATCAGGTAGGTGGACGCAAAGTATGCCGAGCAGGCAACTGCGAGTACTGTCCGTTTCTGGAGTTTGGTCCAGTTGAGGGGATCTAGCGGATCGTCCGTATGGGATCTACATAGGGGTCAATAACAGGTTTCAGTCATGTGTGGAATTGGTAGGACGTACGGCACCAGCGGTCTACCAAAGTCATCCAGACGGGGTGTTGGGCCATGGTTGACTTCGACAGGGTGTACAGTTGGCTTTGCTTTATTATTCGCCGTCTTCTCGGATCGTTTTTTTGTTGTCCACTCCGACAAACATGTATTCTGGGTCTCGCAGAAACGAATAGTCATGTCCGAAGGAGGAGACATAGCTTTCAAGCTTGAGGCGTATCTTCTCTCTGAATAGTGGATCTAGTGATGCTTTCGGCTGATCAACTTGCGGTCTTCAGTCGCCTTCAATTTTCAAGGAAGCGAAGTCCGATGATTATTTACTTATACTCCAGCGCAAGATCGAGTCCCCCCTTCGCAAGCTCGTATTGAATCATCGCCAAGTACTTCTGTACTATATGAGTGTAGCCGGCCAAGTGCCTAGTGCAACATTGTTAAACGGTCATGTCACGGTCAGATAACAAGGGATGTCACCAAAACCGCAAGTGCATGGCAGTAGCACCAATTCTAGACCCGGAGAGATACCTAACGATAGGGGTAGGCTGATTCTGGCTATTGTGCGTCATGACTGCTAGCTTTCTCTAGCTGTGTAAGTTTACTGCTACGGACGTCTAGGCGAGACGGGAATACAAACATCATCATCACGAGCACTGTGGAACCGTGGTTCGCGTAGGGCCCAATCAGCTTTCTGTCACGTCTTCGCAAGTCTTTAAGGGCTACGTGATATACGTCGTTCTCTTTCTTAAATATCTTACGCCAATTAATTGCTAACTTCCCCTCTGCGTAGAAATCGACTCCGACAAGTCAAGAACTGGATGATCGCCTGGGTGTTTTCATCTGCGGGAAAGCTCGACACCCGACATGGAGAATGCATCTGCTGGCCGGTACAGCCACACCCTAGTTTGAGTTGAAGTCGTGAAATTTTCAGTCCATCTAACTCAGAGCCCATTTATTCAGCGTGATTCCAGCTTTCAGACTCCAGAGTTCAAGCCCCATGCTGCGAAAGGACGTGTTTGTCTTGGAAGGGTATAAGCTAGATGTGGTATTGGTACTCTTCTTTCGAACAGCACACCCACAGCAGGACCGGTGCAGTCTCTATCGCTCGGTCCCCCCGAGTTCTCGTCCTCCAAACGCTTATCATAGTTGGAAACTTCGATCAAAGCTGCCGGAATCTACTTCCGCATCCAAGGGATGACAAGAATCCATATGGAGTTGGCCATGTGACAGAGAACCGCACTATCACGAAGTCCATAGGATTACCAATCCCCACAGTATCAACGAATCGTCCGGGAAGCCCGTCGATTATGCTAGCAACCCCAAACCCCGCGTATCAAATGCTCCTGGCTCATCCCGACTCGTGGCATCTAATCGGGGCGACGCACGCTTTTTATCCCCGTCTGGGCCACGGCACATCGAGACAACAGGCTCTATGCAGCTGGTGACTACGCATACATATGAATCTCTACCCGACAGAAAAAGCAATTTGGAGGCCTTTTCCGATAGAGGGAACAAGACTGATGAAGAGAGTATTGTGCTGTGGCCATCGATCAGCTTGACGCATAACCCAAGACCAAGACCACCCTGTCATGCAGTATGATACCTTGATGGTCAGGCTCAAGCCCAGTGGGTTCTTCGGACAAGTTCACGCCTTGGATTCTCTATAGAGCACACGGAAGTTCAATGAACGTCGGCTGCTCGAGGATGCGGCGGCCGTAGGGAGGCAGACTCAGGGTCGTAGTTTCGTTTTCTCGTGCTGCAGCAAGCGCAAGTTGTTGTTTTTGTTGATAGGTGGAGTCCGGTCGGCTGGTTGGGATTGGATTGGATTGGATTGGTTTGGTTTGGTTTGCATAAAGATAGAGAGACTTGGATTCCCGTCAAAACCTTCAAGTGTAGCTTTGCCTGGTGACCAAGAGGTAGTACCGTGGCCGTATCCTAAAAGCATGTAGTTTCTAGAAAGCTGAAGCTACTGCGACGGCAACAGCAACGACAACGACAACGATGACGGCAACAGTGACGATGGCAAATCCTCGCTTGACCTGGAAAGGGCATCACCTGGGGATAAGCGACAGTCACCTCTGCTTGAATCTTTCCGGTCACATGATGTCGATGACTATATTTTAGCCGATACATACGCTACTGCCGAATTGAAATCGAGTTCCTTCTTGAACCTCCCGCCTTCAAAGAAAAAAGTACGACCACGTTAACGTCAACGTAGGATCATGGCCGACTCAAAGGGTAAAGGTCCAGCGCCACCACCTCCTGTCCCTATGGAGGACCTGGTGGAGACATCTTTAAAGGGTAAGTCTCATCATATTGTGCAGCGTATAATTCAAATCTTATTTGAATTACCATAGGCTTGGCCGTCGAAGAGAAGACTTGGAGCCTGGAAGACGATGGTCCGATTGGATATGGTCCGATTGATCCAGCAGAATCAGCACTTCTACTTCTGCCCTCATACGACCGGAAGGGAATCAGAGATATCGCCTACGGCGTCAGTTAAGAACCTTTCTCGTTGACCTCGAGCTTCTGAACAACGGAGAGGTTATCCCACCAAGAATCGCAGCATCGGCAGTAGGTATATCTCAGTAGCCCCGTCTGATAGTCCTGGGACCTTGCAGCATGACTCAGGCCGCATATCAGCTCCTACGAATACGACCATTTTCGCTGACCAACTTTGAAGTATGCTAGAGTGCTCGACCAGAAGTACAATTGAAGCGGCTTTCCCATTGAACATAAGCGGCGCGTGCGCCTCTCAGCGCTAGAACTCGTAAGTCTCCCACTCCTATCCCAGCAAAATCATGCGGATCACATATCGCACCTGCCACGTCCGTCGCGTTCGGTTTGCTAGCTCTTAATCTTCTACATCCTACCTTGGATTCGTATAATGTTCATCGCAACTGGAGCAGGATGAGCATAGAGGAGCAGCAAGCATGGCAGAGCGAGGACGGAGACGACCGATTCGAGATCAGGTGGCGGTACGAGGCGGGGCACTTTAGTGATAATAGGATCAGAAGTCTTCAGAAAGTATAAAGACAGCGGAGCGTACAAGAAAAATCGAGAGCTTGTCTCACGAGGAGACTTGACAATGTCGGCGAAGGTGGAGCTGAACGATGGTTCATCTGCTTCTACGGCTGCAAAGGATCTATCCACGACGACTGTGGACTCTGAAATGCAGATTTAGGAATACCACACGGGTTTGAGAGTTAGTGCTGGCTTAATATCGATGGATTGCCATGATGGAGGGACCAACTTGGTTTTCAGAGATACCCAGTGCGTGGACAAATCAATACGTATATCAATGACTACTATGCCCCCATCTCTGGCATGCGACATGTAAGTAGTTCTCCATCTTGGAAACATGTGATTATTTTCTTTCTACTCGATTAAAGTACTTACTAGCTCATGTGAAATGGCTGACAAGAGGGATGAAGCTTGCTGTCCGCACCACGGGGGGGCTGAGTATTTTTTTTTTTTTAAAAAAAACCCCCTGGGGCAGAAGATTGCAATATCGAAAAATCTCGTATCCCAAGTAATATTCATTACAAGGTGGTTTGTATCAAGGGCCAAAGTCAGGTTCCGCAATTTGACTTCCTAGTGGGCCCGATGTTGTTTTCCGCTAAGCGAGCCCCTGAACAAATTGTGTTTAATTTTTTTTCGAGGCGGGAGAAAGGGCAGGTTATTTCAATTCAACTCACAATCTAGTTAGTTTATTGCGAGCACGTATCACATACCGTCTTATCACTCAGACTCGGGACTTACAGAAGATTCTAGTAAGTCTGAGCTTTCGACGCGATCGGACACAAGTAACAACAGTCTCGAAACCATGGAATTCGTGACATGGCATGTACCCATTTCAGAATGCACACACCCGCGAGCTGTTACAACACCATCAAAGATCCTAGAGGGGGGAAGATAGAGTGGTCAATTCTATTGCCATACTTGATCTGAAGCTTGAGATTCTGCTAGATCTTGTTGTTGGTATTGTTGTTGCTGTATTTGTTAACGTCGGGCGGGTGCAGGCTCCGCTGCCCTGCGACCTTCCATGGGGTACGGCGACGTGCTAATTCTAGGAGTTATATACGGAGCAAGAAAGCCCCAGAAAGCCAGTTTTCAGAGTGGTACGTACAGCAAAGGCTGCTATCACCTGCGCCCTTCCCTACAGATAGGATGGATGGGATCACAGTGACAGAAAGCTTCCGTCCAGGAGAAGAAAACCAAAGAAGCAAGCAAGGCAGAGAGAGACTGCCGCGCATTCTGCTATGTCGGGAATCTGGAAGAAGGTAATCTGAATATAACATGTTGTTACAGGTCACTCACACCGAGGCAGATATAAGAAGCCAACCTTGATGACACCCATGTTAATTCAGCCGGGTTTTTTTTCATTGGATGGCTAATTTATCTTTGCACCACGATGGGATGGAAGGTTGCCGTTGACGGACCGATTCCGAGGTCACATGATCAGGGTGCAACCAGGCGAGAAGGGCGAGAAGAAGAAGCGCGGAGAACGGGACAAACAAGAACGCAAGGCTCAAGACGAGAAAGATAGGAAGGAGGGGCTTTCGGTGGCCGAGCCAGAGGATACAGCTCGGAGGGTGACCAACTGCAATATTAGCACTGAGCTCGAGAACGCCCTCATTTTGCGCCTAAATGACGGTTGTATTAGGAATCCACTTAGTTGTGAATTTGGGGACGAGACTACCCATTGGTAGCCTCAATCAGGGCGTCGAAGTTGTCGAATCTGCGTGCCTTCTATTTCCTGGCTTGTGGCCATCCATGAGATTCCCGCCTTCGGAGAACTTTTCCCGCCTCCATTGGTGGAATGACTACTTCTTATATCCAGCTCTTAAAGACGTCGACTCGTATAATTCAGAGTCGTCTCTCTTGCAACGACCTGCTTCCATACGATTAATCATACAAGATATTGACGTTGGTGTGATCACGTGGCTCCCGCTCGATGAGCTTATTTGCTAAAAAGGAAAGAGCGACGACTCCTGCATATTCAAAAACCGCAACTCCAAGCGTTGCATGCTACCTACACTCAAACAGAAATAGCAGTAATACCCACCATTCTTAACCCTTCAAAATAGGCTGCTACATCGATTGTACTACGTATTCAGGATGAAGATCAAGATGTTGTAGGTGTCCGCGCAAACATATCTATACCACTTGAAGCCCGGTCTGACGCGCTGAATCCAGGCTCACCGAATTACTCTATTCATGTAATCCCCTAATCTCCAGCCCCGACCTCATCAAGGTACGATCTGACGCTAGTTACAACGAGACGGAGGCATGGCTCGCTGACATCTGCATATTGGTAGCAGAAATCGGACGGAAACAAGACGAACCTCGCTGAAGACCGAAGGCAAGAGACGGGCTGTGTATTGAGTGACGCATTCTGAAGCTGCTAAGGAAGGCGGGAACACGAACAGATATATACCCCAGATGCGGAATGGGCTGGATATGTCAGAGATCGTGGGTCGAATATTGCATTGGCGTGGCTTCCTTTCGCAGAGACATGGGACGTAGAAATATTGATTGTGATAGTTAGCCTACATATCAATTTGGTGAAGAAGGTTACATGCTTGACTCGGATGAAGGTATTGAGCTCGCCCAGGGTCTCTTGAATTCTCGACCGAGGAGACAACGGGGGCTTAAGTTGACTGGCCATACTCTTCATGTAACAGGAGCGTAGGGTGGGAATCCGTGATCGTCCTCCGTTTGATTCTACAGAGTACAGCGCGGAGTTTTAATCACTGAGATCTTACTGAGATTTGAGATATGCCTTTGGGTTGATGGAGCTTAGATGTAATAAAATACGTGCAGGTTCGACGTATAGCAAGTGATGGTGTAAATAAACCATAACACGGCAGCCTTATAGTCTCGAGATAGCCTTCAGCCCTGTTGACACGTATGCAATATCAACAAAGCATTGTATGTGTGTGAAATAATATCCATTCACCAAAATGGCTCGCTAAGAATCCAGAGAATTCACTATTTGGCAAGTCACGGCTCTAGGCTGACGCGACGCGACGGACACCTTTGTTTATAAGACTACCTCCTCCTCCTTCCCTCTTACACGACAGAACAGAACAACCCCCACAGACTTCCAAGAAAGAGACTTGTTCACCCCAAGTATCAACCCCATCACGACGCAGTCTGATAATATCAAGTAAACACTCTGAGGATACCAAGGTATGGTCGCGAGTTCACTTGCAAGATAGCCGAGTCTATTCCACCTGGAAGAAGATAACCGAGCCAAGCTTCTAACCGAGTCAATCTACCGAGACTAATGCCCCCAAAGCAGCCATGTCCGCCAACACCAACCGCTCCGCTGGAGCCCAAACACCTACCGAATCGCGCGAGTCCAGCGAGTCTTCAGAGTCCATCCTATCTCAGGAACGTACAGGTTCCGAAGAGCCAACCCAATCTCCCGAACCTACTGCCTCCCAACTCCTCACCGCCATGATCTACGTCGCAAGTCCACCCCCCCCCCCCCCCACCTACAAACACCTATCTTATCCAACTATCCATCCCAACCAACAAAAGCTAACATGACCATGTGACCCATCACCAGGCCCGCATCGAGATCTACGACCTGACCATCCCCTACCAGGAGCGCCGAAAGGTCATCAATGACCTCATCGACTTCTTCCAGCAGGACGACAGAAGCTTCACCCACATGGAGGTCGCGGAGTTTGCCATCTTCATTGCCGAGCACGGAGGCGTCGTGGGCATGGACACAACCTCGCGGCAGGGCTGGATCCGCGTTTGCCTCGACGCCTGCAGCGACGGCTTCGAGGATGCGGAAGAGCTGGATGCCAAGGCTCGCGAGCTGGATCAGGTGCTGGAGGTCCAGGCCGATCGCGTCATGGGAGATGAGGGTAACAACATGGATGATGCTGACGATGATGGCGAAGACGAGGAGAAGGAGTACGAGGAGCCTGATGAGGAGGAGGAGGAGGATGGTATGGATGATGATGAGGAGGGCTATTATTGAAGCTTCAGACTCTCTCACATCTACAACACGGCGTTCGGTCTTCTTGAAATGGAATGGCCACGGAGGGGAAGGGAATGGGTTTTGAAATCCGGAAGGGAGGGAGGTTTACTGCGATGATTTTAATGCTTGCTCTTTGCAAATGCAGATGCCGTTGGCACTGCTCATGTTCATGCTGGAAGAGGGCTCTACACCTGATCTCGCGATCAGATCACGTCTTTGTACCGCATGCAATTCTTTCGCGTTGGTTTTACGCCTCGAGTCTCGAGCTCTGCAAACCCGGACAGTTCTTTTTCATAGTCGAGCACTCACTGGAGCGTGGTTTTCAAGGCCTGGCCCGGGCTGGGTACACACCCACATGACCACTTCTTCAAATCAGACCGCAAAGCAAAGCAGAGTCTGAAAAAAAAATGAATAGTTCCTCCAAACTGATGCATGTGACACTCTCTACCTTCCCATCCATTCGTTGCATACGGGGCTGAAATGCAGAGGAATCGACGACGGACAGGTCAAGAGGGAGAATACTATCGTGACGCCTCGCGAGCTGGCTATCTGATCAAGACTTTACTTCTCATAACTTGCACGATAGGTACCCGAATGCACTTGACCGTACCTACCTACCTGTAGTCACCGGTGGTTATCTAAACCAAACTGTAAAAACATCTTGGCTACAAGGGCACCGGTTAGTTAACCCCCCCTCCCTATCACGACAATCCAAAAACAAACAGGCACCACCAACCTCCCTTCCCTCAAACCACCAACGAACTAGAAACCCATCCATCCATCCATCCATCCACTCATTAATTCACCCATCCACAAAAGCCCTCCTCCCAATCCTCCCAATCCGCCCAATCCCGCTACAAAACCGAAAAGCAATAAGATAAGCAAAACAAGCAGGCAAATCGGTAAACTCTTTCCGCATCTGAAAAAAAAAAAAAAAAAAAAAAGGAGGCTCTCATCATCAGCTACCCCAAGGTAGTTAGGTATTTAATAATACTCAATTCCCAGTACGCCCTCAAAAATCCAAAAATCCAAAGATCCAAAAATCCGAAAATCAGGTGAGCATCCGGCCCAAGCCGCCGCCCCTACCACGTTGCGGAGTAAGCTACTCGGAGTACTCGCTCGAGTTTCTGCAGCAACGACCGCGAAAGTAGTTTCACCACGCAAACAATGTGCACCGCTCCCTCGAAAACACCACGAGTCACTGCGACCGCAACAACATCCGCGAGGGCCTCGAGAGGAGATCACCTAGCCATAATCACAAGCCTTTCCAAATCTCATTGTCATGACCTGTCTAAACCAAGATTGCCCGCTCAACACTGGATACAGGAGGTAGCCAACCCTTGGCAAGGTATTACCCCAACCCCCTCCCAGCAGCCGCTCTCCTAGTCGGCCTTCCCAGTTGCCCCACGTCCCCAAGCGTGATCGCCTTCTCCTTTATTCCACTCCTGCGCTGCACCTTCTCCCCTCTCATCTTGGCCATTACCATCTCCCTCGCCTCCGTGCTTTCAGGATCTTCGTACTGCAGCTGCGTTGCCGGAGGCTGACGCTCGACACCGGCCGGCGCTTTGTCTCCATTGAGTAGCATTTGGATCTTCTCATTCGCGGTCTGGTCATTGCTATTATGCGGTGGATACTCGACGGGATGGCCATGCGTAGCTGTAGAATCCACCGACGTAGCTCGAGAGAGGTTTGAGCCGGCGGACATGTTGCTTGTGACACGCCCTAGAATCCTGCCGCGCTTGCGAGGTTCGGGGGCGTCTTGGGTGGGTGCTGTTTTGGCTTTGGCGAGGAGGTTGGAGATGGCGTTGCTCATTTCTTCTTGCTGGCGTGGGGCTGTTTGGTCGGGTGGCGCGGGCGCTGCGGGCGTCGTGCGTGAGCTTCGGCTTGGTGAGTTGTTGCTGATTTCAGATAGGGGTTGGGTTTTATGTGCTAGATCCTGGGATTCAACGGCGGACGCCGCTGGCAGTGACGGAAAGCCCTGTGTCTCGTACTCTTCTTTCGAGATGGGCTCGGTGGGCAACGGGGGCTCATCACGTGCGGACGGCTCTTCGGGTTCGGGTTCACTGGGGTCAGGAGGGTCCTCAGCTGGCTCATCGGGTATCGATGCTGTATTATCTGGGGCAGAGGGTCGTGAGGGTATGGATCGCCGCGAGTGGTCGGCAGCAGGAGTTCCCACCCCTGTATCGAATGCTGTGTTGTCAAGGCGAGACCCCTTCCGTGGTTTGATCGATGGTCTGGATGGCTCCTCTCCAGGGCCGTTAGAAGCGAATGCCGACTCGTCAAGTCTCGAATGCCGCGGTGGCCGCATCGAGGCTCTCGAAGGATGGCTGTTTGCCCTCGCAGGCGCTCTTGAGGCATCGCTGCTGGTCCGCCCGTGTCCCGACGGAGGTTTGGACATGCTGCCTTCCCTGGTAGCTGGTAGCGATCCCGTTCTCTTGGGAGACCGGCAGCGGTATCCCGAAGATGATATCTTCTCACCAGCCTTGATACAATCCCAGATCCATTCCACCCTCACGATAGGAACGTTCCATTGCTGTGCGTACTCATACTTATCCTTCCGGACACCGGCTAGGGTCTTGGTGACAAGCATGGTGGTATCCGCGGTAAAGTCTTCTTTGTATTCGGCGCCAATCATTCTGACAGCTCTTTCGAACTGTTTTAGATCAATGCCGGTAAAGGCAGACGATGACACGGACACCCCCTCGAACCCCTCGATTTTGAGTTTTGGGAACGGTCGATCGGGAACGTGGTCGCCAGGTTCTATGAATCGCTTCTGATGAAGACACCGCTCCAACCACCAGTAGGTGACTGTGTCAACTGGCACCTGGGACTCTGGCAGCGCTGGAATATCCGAGCGCAGCTTGGTATGGGGAACCATCCTGAACAGTCGTTTTGGGTGGTTGCTCGGTGAGCAAGACAGAAGAGCTGGGACCGAGTCGACTACATCAGCATCGTGTGGGATCAGGTGTTGGCGAAGGACATCTTCCCTCTCCTGGGGAAATCCAAGCAGGAAGAACCGGCATCCGCTAAAGATGCCGTCGATCCTCGCTTCATTCACCACAGTTGACTGAGTTGGGCGGCTCCGCCCATCGTCTTCGGTAGCTGCTGTTGGCTCGGGGGGGTAGGCATTCTGAGTATCGTCATCGTTCGTTTCCCACACGCCACTACGATTGACCTGTGCCACCTTGCTACTACTCTCTGCTGCGGCTCCCACGATATCCCCCCATATCTCTTGATTCTGTGTGCTCAGCTTCGTGCTCGCCGTCCTCCGTAACTTTCTTTTGCCCCCGTCAGTCGCAGTGCTATACTCTCTCGCTCGTTTGCCCAGTGAAGTCCTCTGCGGCACCGTTCGATTCCAAGCGCCCAATCCTCGCTCGTCTTGTGGCAAGGCCGGGTCGTACAACTTCTCATCCAGAACCATCCCTCTCTCCAAGCTGTCTCGCAGCCATTCGATGGACACAATTTGCAGCTCCCAGGTCTTGGCCGCTTTGTACTTTGCCCCCTCGGTCCGGAAGGAGATCAAATGCGTGATGGACTTGGTCAGGTCGCCTTCGTAGATTGCCCCATTGGCTCTCACCATCTCCGCGATCTGCATCCTCTCCTCAGCTTCACAAATCGGTCAGTGTTGCACTGGTTCCGGGTCGGGATGGGGGGAATGATCTCGTACGGTCATCGCAACCCGTCATACTGAACTTCAAGTCCTGGAGGATAGGCCGCCGGTGCTCCTGTTCCAACGAGACCATATCAATGTCCTGATCATTGATCCACAGCTCCCGCATCGTCTCGACCCAGGCCACCGTCATGGGCTGCACATCCATCCGGTTCTTCGCCACGTATTTGTACTTCTCGGTGTCGTGGTCCCCAACGATGAGGTGGGTCACCTCGGGGGTCAAGTCATAGGTATGGGAGGCCCCCATCTGCTTTGCGTATTCTGCCAGCTGAGTCTGTTCCATGGTCGACGGAGACGGGTCAGCAATCGATGCCGGTGGGAAGTGACGGCGGAAGGAGCGCAACTTACGCGCTTTTCGTCCGGCACCGAGGTACAACAGATGACGCAGCCCGCCAGAGGCGCCTGGGCCTGGGCCTGTGCCTGGATATCGGCGGATGCATTGAGTGAAATATTTGCCTGGCGAGATTTGCTGGCACGGTATTCTGCCATTTTGTGGGGGGCGTGAGGAGGAGGATCGGTGAATTGAGGGCAGTCGCGGCTTGCTGACTTACCTGCCTACAGACGCGACAAATTTGGCGTGTTTTGATCCTTATCGATAAGATCACATGGTCTGAGATCATGGTAGAAGGAAAGGAAGGTAGGTAGGTATCGATGATTGACGGAAAAGACATTTAGCATCTAATCAACACATAGAGCATGTGTACCTCTTATTTCTTACTCTGTTTTTCTTCTTCTTCTTCTTCGTTTTTTTCTTTCTCTTTTCTTCTTTCTTTTTGCTTTTTTCGTTTTGCTTCTTCTAATTATCAGTCGTGATTGATACCGTACCTAGCTGCTGGCCGTATACAGTAGAGAGAGAGAGATCCAGACCATGGTAGATCCCCCGCTCGGCCAAGATGGCTAAAAATGAAAGTACTGAGTGCGGATATAGCTACCGGTACTCCAAGGACCGACTCTCTGGATTTGCTGGCCCCATCCGGGCAGTGATTAATAAGTAGAAAGAAGCCGGACGAGTAGGATCAGTCGAGTACGGGGCAAGGTACTTATGATGGAATATGGCATTGCGTGGCCTTGGAGGCTTTGGAGCAGTACGGTATATTGCTTATCATGCGTTCTTTATGCATTTTTCTTCTTGCGCCAATGCTGGCTGGGAAAAGTCTTGAAGTCGCGGCGGTGAGTGAGGAACATCCATAACCATATCCTACTACCTAGTCACTCACTTGACGCATCATGAGATGGATGAATCATGACATGTCGGGTGGTGGTGGCTGGTTGGCACGCCATGCACTGCAGAGTATTTGTACGAGGTACCGAAGATCCCGACACTGGGTATTGTGGTGTGGTACCGGTCCCGTACAACAGAATACAACAGAATGTCTGTTCCTCGAACCTTCAACGGTCCCACGGGGTAGTAGAGTGAGTAGGTAGTAGTAGGTATAGGTAGTAGTAGTAGGTAGGTAGGTAGGTAGGTATCCGAAGGTATTAGGTAGGTAGTAGTCGCTTGTGGACATCCTTTGGAATTGGTATGCCAAGCCGAGTCCAAGCCCCCACCAGTCACGAGTACGGTAGTACGTAGTAGGTACGTAGTACCTATTGAAATGTTGAAACCATGGAAAAGTTTCTACTCTGACACCGAACTTCTGCTTCATGCGAGTCGAAACGCCATGCAGGCATCCCATCCGGATGGTTTCGACGAGGAACAGAGGATTCCATTCATTCATTCATTCATGGACTCGTTCATTCATCCATCCATCCATCCACCCATTCGTCCATCCATCCATCCATCCATCCATCCATTCCGCATCTTACCTTGCCTTGCCATCGGAACTTTGGCTTCTTGGCAATCGGCCTGCGCATACCGTACCGTATCGTGCGGACAGACAGTACTACCAGTACCGGTACCTACCTACGTACGTAGTACCTACCAACCAACCTCTTCCCACGTGGCGGCTGTCGTCGTCATTGGATCCGGGGCCGTCGGCATTGTCATGCAGTCAGTCAATACAGCACAGCACAGCACAGCACTGCACAATACTTACCAGTAGTACCGTATGGAGCCAAAGTCAAATTCTTTCAATTCAATCAATTTGTTTCGTCCTTCCATCCTCTCCGTCCATTCATTCTATCCTTTCCATGCTTCCATCTCCAAATTCCCATCCGGCATATCTATCTCTACCCATCGCACCGCATCGCAGATTCGCAACAGCAGAAAGAGAAAAAAGTATATCCGTTACCCCAACCTCCAATGCCCCCCCCCCTCTCCACCCTCCACCCTCCACCCTCCCCCCTCCCCCCCTCCCCCCTCCCCCCCTCCCCCCTGCCAAGCGTCATCATCGACCAGGGATTAATACCGATCTCCGCGAGAGCCCCAAAGCGAAAAAAACCCATCCTTTTCATCTCATCTCGTATCATCTGTATCAAGATCAACATCAGCATCAACTAACTCACATCAACATCCGACGAGGCCAGACGAGACAGACGAGTCCAGAACCGACCTCAGACATACCTACATCCGATATCCGATACCCGACCTCAGACCTCACTCGCGCTTCACAACCTCACCACGAACCTCACACCGCACACTGCACACCTCGCATCTCATACCTCATACCTCCTACCTCATACCTCATACCGTACACCTCAAGACACAGACCAAAGCTTTACACAACTCAAACCCAATCCCAAACCCCCAAACCCTTCCCGGATAGCTTTGGGGGCCCGGCTTTTGGATGTGCCCATGTGCTGCTGCCGGCAACGAACGAGCCCAACCACAGACCGTATACCGCCCTACCGGTCGCATAGTACGGAGGTGAGTCTGTCTCATCCTTTTGCTTGCTTGCCCCTGTTGTGTGCTTGTAACCTACTTCCCTTCCTCTTTTCCTCTCTTCCTCTCTTCCTCTCTCCCCATTGCCCTTCTTCCTTCTTCCCAGCCTTATCCCCCGACCCCCATCTCGTGCTGGCACCCACCCTGTCCTTCATTCATGGCATGAAATACATGGTAGGCGAGCAAAGACAATTGCCATATCGCTGTGCGGTCTCTGCCCTGCTCAGTCCTGCCTATCCGCTTGCCACCACAAGGACAAAATAGCCAGCTCGCTCGCTATTTGAGTGCCCTCTCTCTTCTCTCTCTATGCTCCTTACCACACGCTCACTCGATCACCCCACTCGATCGCCCACCCATTACACACTCACTCCCTTATACGGGTCATAAAACTTTCACTACCATCATACACTCCTACTCACAGTCATACCCACGACTCACTCTTTTCTTCTATACACTAACCCAACCCCCCCCCCCCCATCGACGACGGCTTTCCTTTCTCGCGCTCGCAACAGCAAAAGTAATAACTAACCTAAACAACCCCCGTCATGTCAGACTCCACCTTCTCTTATTATACCAGCCGGGGACAGGTCTTCTACAACCCGTCCACTCTCTACGCTCAGAAGCTCTTGCCCGTGAGCCTTCCGACCCCTCCGTGCAGTCCCCGCCGGAGACGACCGCACTCTATCCATATCACCAGGTTGCCGGCCGGTTTCGTTCCCTTCGATCTCCGGCCATCGCCCCCTCCCAGAACCTCCAAATTCCCCTCGAGGTTTCACCTCGAACTCAGAAAGGTGGCGTCGAGGGAGAATGCAAAGCGTGTGTTAGGCTCCATCTTCTCTCCGTCCCTCTCGAGCCCCTGTTCGACGACGTCCTCGGCGGCGGCGAGTCCGGGACTGGTGCCATCTCCCTCGCCTCGCGCATCCATGTCCCTCGGCTCGTCGGATACCAACACCATTTTGGCGAGACGGGTAGCCACTGCGGCAGAAGAAGGAGGTAGTCTGCCCATAACCCCGTCAATAATGTCGCGACCGCCGCTGGGGGAAAGCGCCAGTACCTCGTCGACAGGCAGCCTCCTATCCGCACCACCAACCTCCCGAAGAGCCAGTTTCAGTGCGGTCAGGCCACGGAGCGGTAGCGCCGCGCCCAGCTACAAGGCGTCGGCTGCGGGAGAGGCGGAGAAGCCCGTGTGCTCCAGTGGTGGTATCGCATGCTACATCAACCTTGCCGAGCCCGTGATATTTCTCACGGGTCTGGATCACGATGGCACGACCCGGGATTCCGGGTCGAACACAACTTCGCTTCTCCGGGGGAAGCTCGTGTTGAACATCACCAAGAACGTCAAGATCAAGGCAGTGACGTTGAAGTTCACGGGGAGAGCCCGAACTGAGTGGCCGGAAGGTAAGGTCATCCGAGGATCGAGCAATGACTGCCATGAGCTAACCAACCGTACCACAGGTATCCCACCCGAGAAGATCGTGCTTCATGAGGAAGACTCACTCAGAACCCAGATCCTCCCCTTCTTCAATGCCATGTACGATGGGTCGGAGAATGGCTACGGGACGATGTGCAATTATACCTTACGCGGCGATAAATCGGCGGACTCGTCCGTCACCAACCTGGCACTGGATCATCCTGATGGCGCAAGTGGTTTCTCCTTGTCGGCCATCACCAACCGATCCAGCCGATCCGGCGCCAATCTCACCGCCAAAGAACAGAAGAGGCTTTCCCTGCAGAGCAACCAGTCGCGGAGTTTCACCAAGACCGAGTCTCAGTTCGGACCATCCCCACAGCAGAAAGGCTACAAAACCTTCTTCCCGGGAGTTTACGAGTACAACTTTGAGCTGCCGATCGATAAGAACAGCCCCGAGACGCTCAAGCTGCCACTGGCTTCGGTCAAGTGGAACCTAGAGGCCGTGGTGGAGCGGGCCGGTGCATTCAAGACCAATCTCGTAGGCTCCAAAGAGATCCCAGTCATCCGATCACCGTCCGAAGATTCGCTAGAATTGGTGGAGCCGATTTCGATCAGCCGCAAATGGGAGGACCAGCTCTTTTACGATATTATGATCTCGGGAAAGTCTTTCCCCCTGGGCTCCAAGATTCCAATCGCCTTCAAACTCACGCCGCTGGCCAAAGTTCAGATCCATAAGATCAAGGTCTTGGTCAGCGAGAGCGTCGACTATTACGCGCGGAACAAAAAGATCGCGAGGAGGGAGTCTCAACGGAAGATCCTCTTGTTCGAGAAGGCCGCGGGGAAGCCACTCGCGAAGGAGTACGATGCATCGGAGATCAGGATTCTCCGAGGAGGCGAGCGGACCGAGGACGAGCGCGTGCAAAGTCGCCAATTCGCAGAGACAGAAAGACTCTTGAGGGCTCGTCGCGAAGGAACCCAACCCGAGCCCCTGCCAGAGCGAAGCAATAACATGCTTGGTGACATCGACCTCGGCATTCCCAGCCTCTCGGGATCTACTGAGATGGAGATTGATGTTCAGCTGCCCACGTGTGAGATGATGGAGAAGGATAGGAAATTCAGATTGACAAATGATTGCACATGGAAGAATGTCGATGTGCACCACTGGATCAAGGTACACACTCCCCCCTCTCCGTCCGTCGGTTGCCTGGTCTAACATGGTACCAGATCGTCATGCGCGTGTCGAGGAACGACGTCGATGATCCGACCGGAAAGAAGCGTCGCCACTTTGAGATAACGATCGATTCCCCCATCTCGCTTCTCAATTGTCGTGCCACTCAAGCTAACCTCGCTTTGCCTTCGTACTTGGACCATAGCACCGGCCTCAGTCAACAACACGTCTGTGGGTGCCCTAACGCTGCGCCGATAGCCACGCCTCCAGGAATGCCAGCAATAGAGAGTGCAGACGCTGGGCTGGGGATGTCACCCGTCAACGAGAATGCGATGCCGGACCTGGCCCGACCGCCTCGGGCGCATCTGTCGACCAATGCCGCTGCAGGAGTGCAGCGACCCATTCACTTGTTGAGGGCTCCGAGCTTCAACCCTCCTCCATTCGATGCAGACGATGCGCCACCACCAACGGTTACGCCTCCGCCTCTTTACGATCACGTCTTCGGTACGCCGAGTCACGACGGCCTGGCAGATTATTTCGCTCGGTACGTGGTCGCCCGCTTCTCCCACTGACAAGGTCTCGTGTTGACCTATCTTGTAGTTTGAGTTCTTTCGAGGAGCAAAACGAGGCTTCTGATGACGACGAGAGCCCCACCAGGGCGACGAGTCGTGGTCGTGTCAACGTCGTCAATCCGCGGACCCCGGGTGGAAGACTGGCTCGGAGTATGGACATCGACCGCAGTTTCATGTCCAACCCGGCGGCCCTCCCAGTCGTTCGACCCTCGGGGCCAACCCTCACTGTACCGGATTCAAATCTCGCCCTGGTCAATGGTAATGCAGCTACAATTCGTACTGTTTCGAATGACAGTGCGAGATAAGCTTCCGTCACTACGGGCACGTGACGAATAGAGGATGAATGAAGCATGGCGGCCAACCTTTCTGCTTGTATATAAACACTAGTTGTTACGTAGGAGAGCTTTGACAGCAGGAATATACCCCAGCTGTGAAGCTGGGAGCGTGGAGATTTGCTGCTAGGATTTGGGCGGCTGGGCCACTACTTGGGGAGGCATTGTTGTTTGCGTTTTTGCATATATATGCATATATAGATGGCGGCGTATCTTTTACAGCAGGGTCCAAAAGCATGGATAATATGGCGTTGGAGGTATTGGTTGGTGCATGGCTGCTGGTACGGCAGGTATATGAAACGATGATCTAAGGCCAATCAAATACATGTTAGAATAACGTATGAACAAACTTCCACTCTTGCGAAGTTGTGAATTGCCTTTTCTCGCCTGCACTGTTGCGACATGGCAATTGACATCTACCACCCTCCTCTGCCCTGAAAATTAAAAACTTGCTTCTGCTTCCGTTCGTTCGTTCGTTCGTACGTCCGTCTCATTCTCATTCTCATTCTCGTTCTCCTCCATCCTCTTGTTCCTTTTATCCCTCGCAAAAAAAAAAAAAAAGCGGGAAAGGGGGGCCGATTAGGTACATACATATACACACATATACACACATATACACACATATACATACCTTACATACATACACATATACATACATATACATATACATACATACACACCCAGGTAGGCAGGCAGGCAGTAGGTACCTACCTATCATGTGAAGAAAGTGATGGATAAGGGGCGCGTCATTAATCAATGATCAATCGTACCGACCGGAAGATGCGATGCCGATACCGATGCCGACGCAGCCAGTTGCCAGTTGCCAGTGGAGGGTATTTTATGAGAGGATGCTGCGGAGAGAAGGTAAGTTGAAAGTTGAAAGAGAGAGAGAGAGAGAGGGTATTTATTACCTAGGTACCTCCTGCCCGATTCAGATTCAGATTCAGTTCTGCAGTTCTGCAGTTCTCCACTTTTAAAAGGGGTTAAGCGAGCGGCGACCCCATTCCCCCCTCCCCCTCCCCCTCCCCTCCAACCAACCCCCCCCCCCCCCCAAAAAACCAGCGGGCACGTCAGACATACAAACAGACATCATTCTCGATACTTCATATTTCGCTAGCTAGCTGTGAAACAGCAGCGGCAGACCTATGTGATACTTCCTGTAATTCGAATCTAGTATACAATTCCAAACACACAATCAAAACACTTTGATCTCGTAAGAAAACGCCTTGATACATCCATCCATCCATCCATCCATCCATCCATTCCCCACTTCCTTGGTAGGTCATCCTTTTACTCCAACAACAAAAGAAATCCAGATGATGCCAACGTGTAAGGAAGGAGTCAGACCGTGCTGCACCTTCTCCCAAAGTAATGTACTCGAACAATAAAACAGAAGATATCGAAGCCAAATAGACAAGGGTATGGACCCCGAGGCAGAGAGCCAGGAGGCAATTTTTAACTGCTGAAGCGAAATTCAGGCCATCAACGTCATCGAAGGCATTGGTCGTGGATCATGACACGCGAAAAACTGCAACGAGAACATATCAACAGCATCAAGACGTCGCTCATCGAAGGAGCTAAAACGCATCCTCGTCCGTCCAATTGGCCTCACTTCCAGAGAGAATGCGGGCCTCTGTGACACCGCCTCGACTATCGTACTGTGGGATGCCTTTTTGCTTCTTGGGTTGTCCACCTTGGCTATACTCTTCGGGGGTGAAGCGCTTATTCCGTGCAGCTCGTAGCTTCGCATAATATGCATCTGTAGCGTCTAGCTCGGGCTCAGAATCATCTTCGATCGTCTGCCAATTCTCAGAGCCGGATACGGTTGTGTTGTTCGACGTATTTGAAATTTGTCGGCTAGCGGGGACGGGTGGACGTGGCTGTGTATCTCGCTCGTTCTGACGCATGGATGACTTCAGCTCGTGGTATGACTGTGGTCGGGCACTGCGTTGTGATGCCGAGCCTGCATCATCACGGAAAGCATCTTCAGGTGTTACATGACGAACGATACCAATGCTCGAAGTGACGCTGTCGGCGCGATAGAGAGAGTGAGGAGTCGGGGTTGCTGCCGGTTGGGGAACATGTAGGTCTCTCATTTTCGGAGGAGGGGCCCTACTTGGTGGAGGACCCATCTTGCCCCGGAGAGTGCTTGTATCTGCCGCAGCTCGACGCTCTGGCGAGTTTCCACCATGGTTGAGATTGGACAGAGGTGCTCTTGCGGGAATCTTCGAGGGGGACTTGGCCATGGAATTAGCGGCAACGGGGTTTCTTCTCAAAGTTCCACCAGCGGTGGGAGTCTTAGCACCGAGTCTACTAGGAGGAGGAGCTTTCATCACACTGTTTCCCCGGATGGTTGAAGCCGATTTTGGAGGTCTCGCAGCAGGCGGCGGTGGACCAGCGGGTGTCTTGGATCGAGGACCAGGGGCAGGCTTTGATTCGGACGCTTCAAGTTCATCCAGGTATCTTTCTCCGTGTACTAAGAAAGGCCGACCGTATTCATCCTCCCATTTTTCTAGGACCTGATAAAATTAGCTGTATGCACACATCGTTGGCCTGATCGTGGATCTTGATGCAGCCCTGTGGGGCCAGATTTTGATTACCAAAAGACGAAGACGGGGGACGTCTTACCTTTCTCAAGTTCGCAGCTACCTTGGGTAAATCCTTCGCAATGCGCTTTCTCATCTTCTCCTCTCTCAGAAGGCGTGTGGGGTCTCTCTTCTCGCCTTTTTGCCCACGGCCGAGTAAGCGAGATGCATCTTGACTGGAAGCTTGAAGATCGTTTCGGTCCTTTACAAGCGAGCGGTGCTGTTCGATAAGGTCCAGAGTAGGGGCACGCTGCTCCTTCAATGCCTCGAGTCGCTCGATTTCCTGTTCGTGAGCCTCGAGCAACGCATCGCTGTAGACGTCCGAAAACGCAGGGGTAAACTCCAACATTTCTTCTTCTGAGAAATACAGACCGTCCCAAAGTTCCTGGAGCTTGTATCGGGCATCCTCTACGAATAAGTGGAGGTTTTGTCGCTTGAGCTCGTTGAGTCTTGACAGTTCGTCCTCAAACTCGTTGATTTGTCGTACGCCGCACCCCCGGTTTGCATTACAGAACTTCTTTCTCTCATGCTCCTCCACTCCCAGGCGTTCCCACAGTCCCTCGACAGTAGCCTTGAGATCTTTCAATCGTCTCTCACGTGATTTCTTCTCTTCTGCAAGCTTGTCTCTCTTTGATCTCAGTCGAGCGATATCGTCCTCGTGCAGGCCCAACTGCTCAGGGGAGTCGCGGTAATACTTGACGATCGTGCCATCAGTCTGGGCCTGGGGTGTTCCAAGCTCAGCCCAGAGTTGGATGATGTGCTCGGATAACGCCTTCACGGTTGCAACACGACGCGTGTACTCCTCGTATACCCGAGTGAATTCGTCGTCGAGAGCGGTAACGTATATGGACGACAAGTCGAACGTGGGAGGTATCGTGGAGTTTGGGGACGTCGGGGGCAGGGTGATCTTGATAAATGATGGTTCAAGGTGGGATGAGTACGATTCGAGGGCTTGTACGAGCTCTGCAAGAGTTTAGCATCTATATACATCATGATTCTGGGCTGCCTACTCTTGATTTGTTCGAAGCGCTCTCTATGTAACTTGGAGATCTGAAGGTGCTTCTCCTTCAAGCCTTGCAGGCAACGCGTCAATGGGTAGGTGATCTTCAGATCCTCATGCTCCGCCTCGTACTCGTGCCGGGACTTGTTGTCGTCAAGCGAAGCATCCATTTGCTTAATTGTGGTTATGATGCGCTGAGCCTCCTCCGTCAAGTCATTCTTCTCGGCGGCAACCAATCGAACCTGATTGTGTAGCGTTTCGGATAGCGCAGAGAACAACTAGAAGATGTCAGCTTCGATTCTCATGTGGGATGTATTTCTTTGCGGGCGGCTTACCTCCGACTCTCGACTCTCACGCACATGGCTGGGCACCCCAATCTCATCGAACAGGCCATGGAGCTGGCCAATGATGGTCGCGACCTGGGTGGTAAGATAGCTGGTGTCCATGACGGGCGACGGGCGAGCAGACCCAGGTGCGTCGAAGTCCGGGGGTTTGGTTCTTGACTGGACGGGAGTTGAGAGCTTCATGGAAAGGAGAGAAGAGAAAGAAAGAGACGAGGTATCCCTTGTCGAGATTGCGACTCGTGGTAGCGAAGATCGAGACCAGGACCGTGAGTAGGGAGGTAAGGTAAGGTAAGGTAAAGAAGGTAAAGTAAGGTAGGTAGGCGGTAGGTGATACCTTGAGGTAAACACCGAGTACAACGAAAGACCTTGAGCCTTTTGAGCCTTGGGCCTTGAGCCTTGAGCGCGGCTACGCTGGGCGACTTACTTTCAGCTAGACGCAGGGAGCAAACAAAACCTGGTTAATCCGACCGACGTGATCGTGATCGCGACAGCGAAACTTCGGGGATTGATGCTGTACAGCTCATGAAGAATCGGGGTTGGGTTTGGATTGGATTGGATTGGCGAGGATGTAACTTAGAATGTCATGGTACCTTATCCAGACTTTGTACATCAGTTGTACGATGATGTGGATATTATCCCCAGGCCCACGTTGAAAACAGTGGTTGCCACATAGCAACACCCGCATCGAGTCCCACTATAGCCCCACTGACGATAGGACGAGGCTACCACAAGGCAAGCTTTTGAGGCTCAGTGTCCCTCGTTTGGATATCCTCCATTCCCAATTCCCAATCCTCATGTCCTCATCAGCACAACAGCAACAACAACAACTGGGTTACCACATTGAAGAACACCAACAACCCAGCCCGATATCCTACGATGGATACCGCCCGGAAGACCTGGGGTAAGCTACTAAATCACATATTTTCTTTACACATCTCCCTCCTCCCACGTCCCCCACCCCCAGCTCACCCACCTTATCGATAACAGAGCTTGACAACGATGTGCAACTTATCGATCCTCACCGCGATGCCCTCTACTCCTACAACGCCGCCGAGCAGAAACTCATAGGCGATGCGAAGCCATGGAAGACCGACCCTCACCACTTTAAAAATGTCCGCATCTCAGCCGTAGCTCTGCTGAAGATGGTCATGCACGCACGGTCTGGAGGCAGCATCGAAGTCATGGGTCTGATGCAGGGCAAGATTGCAGGAGATACCATCATCGTCACCGATGCATTCAGACTGCCTGTTGAAGGCACAGAGACCAGAGTCAACGCCCAGGACGAAGCAAACGAATACATGGTGGGCTACCTGCAGGCATGTCGTGATCAGGGCCAGCTGGAAAACGCCGTGGGATGGTACCATAGTCATCCGGGCTATGGCTGCTGGCTCAGCGGTATCGATGTCAGCACACAAGCCACTCAACAGACCTTCTCAGACCCCTTTCTTGCCGTGGTCATCGATCCTGATCGCACCATCTCTGCCGGCAAGGTCGAAATCGGTGCCTTCCGAACATACCCTGAGGATTACAAACCTCCCAATTCTGGAGCAGACGACGGATACCAAACCATTCCTCTGGCCAAGGCAGAAGATTTCGGTGCTCATGCAAGCAGGTACTACTCGCTGGAGGTCTCCCACTTCAAGAGCTCACTCGACACCCACCTATTGGAGCTGCTGTGGAATAAGTACTGGGTGCAGACCATTAGCCAGAGTCCGCTCTTTACAAACCGCGAGTACAGCAGCAAGCAAATGCTTGATCTGAGCTCCAAGATCAGAGAAGCGGGCACCGCTATCCAGAAAGGTGGCAGATCAATGGGCGCAGGAAATAAGGCCCTGGATCAGCAGCTGGAGAAGGTGCTCAGAGATAGCAATAAGATTGCCGGGGAGGAGGCTTCGGGGTTGATGGCTGGGGAGATCAAGGCTAAGCTCTTCAACGGTCTGGGACAGGCTGCGAAGATCAACCCGGAGACAACTAAGCCTGAGCCCGCATCTGCACCGGATGTTACGATGGAGACTGAGCCTGCGGAAACCTGAGGGGCGTTGGAGATGGACTAGCAGTTATCAAAATGCAACAGATCATGTCTTTGAGGCCGTTGAGCATTGCTGGCGTACAGACTTATACAACATGGCGTTAGGGGTATAATGATTCATGAACTGGCTACATGGCTTAGACAGGAGAAAATTTACAGCAGATATCAGAATGACATGGACGAATGACGGGTGTGTCAAGCTTTCACTCTTCAATGCCAAGCTCTATTCCTTACAACAACGCAAGTAAAGCGAAGAGCATACCTTTTCTACTGATACACAAGCCCGGGACGACGCGTCGTCTCTCTCCTGGCACTTAGTCTAAACCGTTACTACACATCTCTCGCAAACCTCTAAAGCCACTCCCTATTGACTTGAACCCCCTTCTCTGCCGCCTTCCTCTCGCGCTCCGCCTGGCTTTCTCTCATCACCTTCTCCGCTAGCTCCAGCCTCCCCATCGTCTCCTCTCTACCCAAGATCTGCATCGTCTGGGCCCCATCTGGCCCCGGCACGCTCCCCGCAATTGCCCATCTCAGATACCCATGCAACAGCTTCCCCCACGCCTGAGAGATAATCTTCTCCGCCCCTTCACCCCCCGACGTGCCCGTCTCGCCTTGATCTTCATTCAAGGCCACCAAGCTCATCGTGGTGCCTTGCTTGATGATCCACGCTATCTTCCCCCGGATGTGTTCTACGGTCCACTCCTCCTCTGGATGTTGATAGATGGAGCGGAAAAGAGTGACCGTGTCGAGGTCCGGCACGAAGGGGATGCCGGGGGGGACATTGCGCAGTTTCAAATTTGGTACCTTTTCGGCGAGCTCGACAGCGGTAGGGGCGCTGAAGAAGTAGTGGGAGCGGGTTATAAAGTCGGACGGTGTTTGATAGTTTTGCGCGTCAGCCATGAGGATGGCGTGGATATACTCTTCTCGTGCCTGCCCTTTTGGAATGGCGCTATAGATTGGTATCTGGTTGTCCGCGTTCTCCAGACGCCTGTCGAGCAGTTTCACGATGGGCTTTACCGCGAGCTCAGTCAGATCGTGGAGGGGGTGATCCGGTGCTTCGCTTTGAGAAGCATACCGCGCAGCGTGGCGTTTCTGCAGGAAGTTGAGTTTCTCGAAGCCGACGATTGAGTCGCCACGCGTGTACTTCATGCTAGCGTTGTGGATAAGGTCTTTCATGCTCATGATATCCTTGCCTGCGTTGTGAGACCAGCCTAGCAGAGCTACGAAGTTGGTGAGGGTTTCGGGAAAGATGCCCATTTCGCGGTAGGCGGAAATATCGGTAGAGGCAGTGCGTTTGCTGAGCTTTTGCCGATCTTTATCGAGGAGGAGACCGACGTGTGCGAATGCTGGGGGTTCCCAGCCGAAGGCTTGATACATTGCTAGATGTTTTGGGGTGGATGACATCCATTCCTGTGTCTCATCAGTATAAGAAGGATATATATTTGCAGGCGTTGACTTACAGAGCCTCGAATAACATGAGTAATTTCCATAAGATGATCATCAACAACGTTTGCAAGGTGGTATGTAGGAAATCCATCAGACTTCAGCAGAATAGGATCATCGAAAGATCCAATGGCTCCAAAAGCGTCAAAGCCTCTTGGCTTCGTCGTCAAGTCACTGCGCTGCCGTACGAGACCATACACCAAATCATGGAAGATAGGGTATTTGTCCGGTACTTTGAGTCTGACAACATGAGCGTCTCCTTTTGCAGCTTTCTCATCGGATTGTTCTCCGTGAAGATGCGCACAAGTCCTGTCATAGTCTGGCGGTAACCCCTGTCTAGAACGGTGTGCAGCCAGCTCATAAAGTCTTTCCGGAGAACAGAAGCATCTGTATGCATGGCCAGATTCTAGCAGCTTCTGAGCATGCTCTCGATACAGTGCCGTTCTTTCGGACTAGCGATGGATTAATTTTGAGCATTGGGTTGGAAAGTAGAGATACTTACTTGTTTATATGGACCAAAAGGGCCTCCTACTTTCGGACCTGGGAATCGTCAATAGGGCCTCTCAGGGCGTTCGAGAATAAGTCAAACCTTCATCCCATTCTATACCTGCCCATTCCAAATCCTGGAACAACTTCTCTTCAGCACCCTTTAGCGTCCTATTCTTCTTCGGTTAGCATGTTTTCGCCCCTGAATCACGAATGAAATTAATTACCCGATCAGTATCTTCGATCCGCAACAGGAATTTTCCACCGGTAGCTTTGGCTATCAGAAAGTTAAACAATGCTGTCCTCAAAGATCCCAGGTGCAGGTAGCCGGTCGGTGAAGGAGCAAACCGCGTTCGAGCCGGCCCTCCTTTTCGGAGCTCTTGCGAGGCTGTTGACAACGAAGTATACTTGAAGGTGTTCGGACTCCTGGAAGCGTGCCCACGACATGACTGACACACCCAATGGATTTTGGGCGCTCTTCTAGCTGCCGAAAGAAGCAGAAGCATTACTTAATTCAGACACGGGAACTTCAAAAACGACCCAGATGTTTCTTAATATTCATCAGTCCATGCGCCGTCATATGGTAGGGTATGTTCGTCCTTACGGAGCAATAGATTTTGCTACCCCGGCTGGCCCAAGCGCGACGCTAAAAAAAAAAACACGATTGTATGGCAAATCAAGCGTCGTTGGATACAAATCTTTACATAGTTACCACAACACTGATGCTTTGCGCCACTTCACGGCAAACCTAATTTTTCTTCGAGGTCATAATTTATAATTTTTGACTGTCAACACAACTCGCACCTCAGAGTCGTGAAAATCTCCCAATCCTCCCATTCCACCAAAACACTCCATGGCTTCCAACGGCGGCACGGAGGAGATCGATCTCTACGGCAAGTCAGCGACACCACCTATTATTGCATGACTAACTCGTTGAATAGATGTCCTCGGTATTTCCAAAACTGCATCCAAGAATGAAATCAGAAAGGCCTACCACAAAGTTCGTTTCCCCCATCTACCTCGCATTCATGATGCCGATCAATTTAGGCTGCCCTGCAACACCACCCCGACAAGGTTGCAGAAGACCAAAGGGAGGAATCAGAGTTGAAGTTCAAGTCTGTAAGCCAAGCATACGAAATCCTGTTTGATGAGGAGAAGCGACAACTCTACGACACCCATGGCATGGCCGCCTTCGACCCGAGCCGAGGCGGACCTGGAGGACCCGGTGGACCAGATCTGGACGATATTATGGCCCATTTTTTTGGTATGGGAGGTGGCGGCGGCATGCCACCAGGATTCGGCGGTGGACCACAGCGACCGAGGAGAGGGCGCGACGAGGAGCAAGAATACCGAGTTACTCTAGAGGAATTGTACAAGGGCAAAACAGTCAAGTTCGCCAGCACGAAGAACATTATATGCAGCCACTGCAAGGGGTCCGGAGGCAAAGAGAAGGCAAAGCCGGCCACTTGCGAGAGGTGTAAGGGCAATGGTGCTACCATCGGACTGAGATCTGTTGGTCCAGGATTGGTCACCCAGGAGAGAATGGTCTGCGATGCTTGCACAGGTACAGGAAAGATGTTCAAGGAAAAGGACAAGTGCAAGAAGTGCAAGGGCAAACGGACCACGTCAGAAAAAAAGGTGTTAGAAATCTACATCCCAAGAGGTGCGCAGGAGGGCGAGCGTATTACTCTAGAGGGCGAGGGGGATCAAGTACCGGATCAGACTCCGGGAGATATCGTCTTCACTCTTGTTGAGGAGGATCATGCTATCTTCAACAGAGCTGGTGACGATCTGTCTGCGGAGGTGGACGTTACTCTTGCCGAGGCGCTCACTGGTTTCTCACGGGTTGTCCTGAAGCACTTGGATGGCCGTGGCATCCACCTCAACCACCCACAAGGAAAGGTTCTCAGACCCGGCCAAGTGTTGAAGGTGGCAGGCGAGGGAATGCCACTGAAGAAGAGCGACGCCAAGGGTGATCTCTACCTGATCTTCAAGGTTGTCTTTCCTGAAAACGGTTGGACCGCGGATGAGTCTGCATTCGCCGATCTCAAGAAGGTCCTTCCAAAGCCCGAAGCTCCCATCGAGGCCACTGAGGTTGATGAGGTAGAATTCGAATCTGATGCTGAGATCGAAGAGGTAAGCTCCCTGTCCCCACAGTTTGTAAACGCACACAGCTGACACGACCAAGTTCGGTGCCAATTCTCGTGGTCCAGGCGGTGGTAGCGGCTGGGAAGACGAGGACGAGGACGAGGGCCAACCGCAATGCGCACAGCAATGAAAGGGGTTCGTTGCGGTGTAGACTAGTAGGCTACTTTGATCATAACTCAGAGCGAGGATTGAAAAAGGGTAGGTATTCTCCGGCCGCGCTCGATACCATACTTAGACCAGAATCAGGGGTTAGTTGGTCTTCCCCGATTCTTACGGATAGAGAAGTACAAACAAAGACCAGTGCACACAAATGAAACGACGACAGGAATACGCATTTGTCCTGATGATACAAACACCTCGTATAAGAAATTCCTGCATGTGAACATATCCCGAGCCGCCCATAATTCGATGGGGTCCTCGTGCTTCCTTCCAGATTGGTCACTTAATTGCAGATTGTGTAAACAAAGCCTGAGATGACAGGTCTTGCGAAATGCAAGAACGCACATCGGAGTCGAGATGAAATACAGACCATACATAGCGTAGCAGCGATTCCATTTAACTTCCGCGCATGTAATTTATTTCTTGAATCAATTCAACATACGAATTAGACGCTAGAAAAACATACAGGAACCGGGGGTATCAATTCAACCATCAAAATACACTCCCAATGCCCCAATTTCCGTAGCCAGGTATCTCACAATCAACCAATCAACAACCAGACTCCATATCCATGCATGCATCCCAGCCTGATTCCTAATCGTACAACCCTCCAGGCTCGTTGAAGATATTGAATCAAACAATCATCTCAATACCCAGGTCCTCCTCATCTCGAGGAGCGAGCTGAAAGAAGAAATAGGCAAGCCACCAAGTGGCGCTGTGAGGCTGCGTTAGAAGCAGGATGAGCCCTAAGCATGATATCGCGGCTGCGACTAAGTTTGGAGTCGGCTCGACCAGGAAGGAAGTCGTGCCAAAATCCGTTGATTCATCCATACAGGCTCGGAGCGGGGGTAGGTCGAAGGATCCGAAGACTGAAACTGTGTTTGGCTGTATACAGCAGTATCGAAGTTGGTGGTATCCATATTCGCGGGAGTTCTTGTCCCTTGTCGAAATCTCCATGAGGTTCCCGATGTCCTTATCCTAAGACACGTCCTTTATCTCCTCTTGACCCCTCCCCCCCCCCACCTTGAAATGGAATAGCGCATTCATTTCATCCAATGTTTCGAGTCGTCGTTTCTCATCATCGCCCCGGCGCAAGCAATCCCCTCACCCTCTCGATCCGCGCAACAGCCCCTTCCAACCTCTCGAGCCGCTTCCTCTTTTCCCCATCCCTACTCTCCAGCAACGCAACCCGCTCCTCCAATTTCGCTCTCGCTTTCCGTTCCGTCGCCACCATCTCATTGGCCTGCATGAACAGCTGCGCGCTCAGCTCCTCGAGTTCCCCGCTCGCCTCATCCAGCTTCTTGTCGGCCGCCTGTCGCAACGCCTGCTCCCTCGTCAACGCGGCCACGAGATCCGTCGCGGAAGGTGCGTTGGGCGGGGCGGGGTTCTTGAGATTCGGGGTCGACTTTCGGGTCAGGAAGGACGAGAGACGGTTCTGTACTGGTAGATAGGAGGAGCTCCTGGGGGACGACCCGGCCTCGGCACGGGCTGCTTCTATCGACGAGCGTGCATTTCGCGTCTTGAGTTCTTGGATTTCGTCTTCGTAGTCCGCCCACCGATCGACTGCTCGTCTCTTAGCTGCTGGAAACTGGTAAAAAGTCGGAGGGAGGTTGGGGACGGGACGAGTACAAACCTGCGTCTGTGGCTTTCTGGGTGAGCAGTCGCACCTGGGCCTCGAGATCCTCAATCTGCTTCTGGGCCTCTAATGCCATAACCGGTTGGTCAGGCAGTCCGATGCCGCAGTTGGGACATGCTGATACCATACCCACTGCGCCCGTCAAAGTCATAGTCGTCGTCGCCGTCGTCGTCGTCGTCGTCCAAGACGTCATGGGGTTGTGTGGGGTGCTGTTGTTCAGGAGACGGCGCAAGGCTGGCTGGCTCCTCCCTAGGTCATAAATATCCGGTCCTCGTTACCGCAACGTTACCGCGAGGAGTTTTCGTTTCGTAGAAGAAGGTGACGGTGAAGAGGAGGGCAAAGTAGACGGCGAGCCAGTGATGGCAAGATGGACGGCAATGAATTTGCCTGGAATGCTCGTCTCATGTATGATTTTCGTAAGGCTTGGCGATAGATCCCACCCATATCAGGGATAGTCCATGCCCGAGCAACTGTAGGTACCATGATCAGCAGCAGGCTCGAACGTCAAAATTAGTTGTATATATATGGCCTCCGAACCTGGCCTTCACCATTCCTCTCGGTACTCGGCGGGAGATTTGCGTTTGTATATTTAAAATATACTTTTCATAGGTACATGTCCGTCCGTCCTTGATATACGATTCGCCCTAATTTGTACGTGTCCTCGCTTATTAGATATCCAAACTTCCAAACTCAAGCCCTAAATACTTCAGAAGAAGCGCGTAACGATCCTCATCCTCGGCAACCACAAACTTGCCCTTCATCATCTGGATCCTAATCTCGCTGCACCTCGCCTCCCTCGCACTCTGGCGCATCATGCCCTCTCCGTACTCATCGATCATGTAGAGCGCCTCGCCCTCCTTGTACGGGTGCTTCCTCTCCCTCTCAAGAACGATCCAACTCAGACTATCATCCAGAACAAACATCTCCTTCCTGACAGTATTCCCGCACGTAGCACCACCTTTTCCCTGACACTCACACTTCGTGGTCCTACACAAAAGTCCTACAGCTTTCCGCGCCTCGACTTCGGCGCGGAACATCAGCCGGTTGGTGATAGCATTGAACTCGATCTCAAGTGGCTTAGCGAGGAATCTGTAGCCATTGAGATCAATCTTCTGCACTCCAGTTGTCTTCCTCGTAGTGTTGTTCTTTTGACTGTTCGGCTTCGCTATCGTTGCTAGCGGCGGTGACATGAAGCGGCGTCTGTAACCCTTCGTCTCCTTACTGGATGGCGATTTCTGGTGCGGGAAGGTACCCTTCTTGTTTAATGTATATTCCACGGTGTGGATCTCCTTGTTCGGTTGTACAACTGGGCTTTGGACAAAGCTTATTGAAGTGCTCGACTTAGTGCTATTGCTTGTCTTGCTATCTCCGTTGGCCGACTCAGTCAGTCGGCTCTTTATGCTGATTTCAGATGCTTTTGAGTTGCCATCATATGTCATTGATCTGGCCTCTGTAGCTGTCTCTTGCCCGGGCGTCACTGCACCCTCATTTCCCGACTTGGTGTTGGAGTCAACGAAGGGTGTCCTTTGGCAGATGTTCTTGCGCGTGTTCTTTCTGAAAATGCCATCGACATCGGGGCTTCTGTTTGGCTTGATGGCTACGAGGTAGTGCTTGTTGTTGGCTGCGACTGAGTAGATGCCTTTAATTGGTTGTTGGCCAAAATATAGTCTTTGATGCTTGCCGGGTTGGTCCTTGGAACTGAATATGCGCCATTCCCAGGGGCAGGTTGCCTTTTTGGCAGCCAGTAAGACGTTGGGCGCCATGGCGACCACGAAGCGAATGTGGTTAAAGTATAATGTAGGTAGAAGGAAGAAGGACTGATGAAGTATGTGGTAGTCGTAGACAGCTTTGGGACGATATCCAGTGCCCAGTATAGAGATGAGAGTATGCAGAAATAAAGATCAGAAATAAACTCCCAGAAATATCGAGCCTCTTATACTGGGAGCCACTGCGATTCATACCAGTGGTAGTCTATACCCATCTCTGGTGTGCATTAAGGCTCTTCGGTACAAGTGCCAGTACCCGGATGCCTTACTAAACTACAAGTCTTTCCACTAAACCGCGGGATTTCAGAAAAAAAAAAGATAACATGGTACTAGATAGAGAGATAACCCAAGGTTTAAGACGATCAAGCAATGAAATTGTGCTGGGTCACCAGGGAATCGGCTTCCCACCACTTTCTCTAGTACAAATAGTCTTTGAAAATTTTGGGCTTTTAAGGCTCCTATCACTTCATGTGGTAGCCATTCGAGAGTCAATTAGTTACGCCGAGTAAGACCTTATTAGCCCCGGCATTACCGTTCTTCCACTTAGCAGAAGCCACTAGTATTTCTTTGCTTCGAGCAATCAAATCGGGCGACGCGCGACAAGAGCAGTGATATAACAGTGAGCACCAAGCTAGTGAGCATAGGTATGCTTTGAACAAGATATTTGGAGAAGAGAGAATGTGAAGACTGAAATGTTATCAAGGAAAGGCGTTATCCATATATTGCTGACAAGGCGATCCTATCTTCTGCCGAAAAACTGCCGGTACTCAGAAAAGGCCCGTTTGAAATAGCGGCCCACACGCTTGCGCTGGTATGAATGATGCCAAAAAAAAGACTCATCTTCAGTAGACACCGCATCGTTGCCAGAAAATTGTACTGAAAAGAGTGAGGGAAGAACTAACTTGAGGAGAAAACCTAACATTGTGCCTTGAAATTTAGGCCACCATCAAGCTGCTTCGATGTTTCCTGGCAAATTGACCATGAACGATACCATTATTAGAGATCCCAGAAGCTTCATTCGTCCTCCCTAGGCCGGTTCTCTGGATGATCCTCAGTAGCGGCGCTCCAAATATTAGTTTTTCCAACAGATCTGTCACCTCGAGCGTGGAGATCACTGTCACAAGAATCGGCTTGAAACAATGAAGTTGTTGAGGTCGTTGATGGATGAGCCTGATCTACACATTTTTTATGCTCGAGCTCATGTTCCGCAAATCCGTGCCCCTTTGCCAAGTTCCCAAACGAAAAACCACCACCCTAAACCTCAGTCGTAACACGAGCCTTGGGGTTGGTAACCTTAACACCGAGCTCCTTCGCGCGTGCAACAATATCAATTCTCTTTCTCGACGAAACTGCGTGTGAGATCCTAGCAAGATGTCAGTGCCTTCTCGACTACCTGTCCACAGGAGAAACGTACTCGGCAGCGAAGGTCTTGTTGTGCATGAGGAGAAGCTCAACATCACGGACGTTGTTGACGAGGAAAGCCTTGTGTCCGGATGGCATCATGTGGCGGGTCTTCTTGTTGGATCCAAAACCAATCTGTTCATCTCATCAGCTCTTGCCCTCAACTTGGTCGGTCCAGAGATTTATGGCCGTTGATTTCGTGGTTCGATTGTTGATCTCGTCCGCCGTGAGCTCCAGGGCCCCATTCCTATCCTCTCACGTACCGATGGCATAACCATTTGGCCCTTGAAACGTCTTCGGACTCTGTTATCGATACCCTTGGGCTTTCTCCAGCTGGCGTCGAGACATTTGTAAGTGTCCGATCTGCGAGACTGTTAGATTCGTTCGACCGCTGAGAACTCATGGGGAATATACTGGTGGCGGTGAAAGCGCTTGGTGCCTGCGTATATTCTATCAGCAAATGTTATTGTAGTAGAAATCGCCGAGGTCGCCGTCGTCGGCCCAAATCTCGAACCAGGAGTAGGACTCACGCTTCTTCACGATCGGGACGTGCTTTGCTGCGGAAACCATCTTGACTGCTGTTAGCTACGGGAAATAGAATCTGCGAAGGTCCCCAGAAGTGGTGGCTTACTTTGTCGTTGGTTTTCGTTTGGCGGTTGTCGTGGGGTTTGAATGTTCGCGCAATTTTCCAATCGCAAATCGTGTGTGCAGCGCTGATCCAATCACCGAGCGCTAAGGTCACATGATTCGCCTTGGCTCGGGTGACTAAGCCACAGCACCTCGCGAAGAGGTGGGTACCTATAAATGTAAACATATAAATTTTTTCTATTTACATGGGTTTCGCCGCCCTCGGTCGAGTTCCCAAGGTCCCTTCGTGATATCTGTCCTAGATTTTGAAGTCCCTGCTAGCCTGTGAAGCTGGCATATTGGAAATTGCAACGCAATGTCCTCACAGACATTGTAAGTATCAGCAAGCCAGTCCGGTATAGCGTTCTTCCACATTCTATTATGCCACCTCATGTGTGATAGCAGAAAGGAGCTTCCGAATATCTCACTTCCCCGAGCCCAGATGGACGGATCGCTGAGCGAAAGAGATGTAATAAGAGCAATCCAACATCACCGAACGGATTATCCGGAACTTGATTGCATCCGAACCAGGTCCGAAAAATTTCCAATGAAGAAATTCTGACACGATCTCTGCGACTGAAGCATGGAGGAAGGCGATCATATTTTGACAGACCTTGCTTGGACTCGTTCGCCAAACAGCTTTTCATGCCTCCCACCAGATCGAGACGGCCTTCTCGCTTAATGTTCCGATGACGTAAGCGATTCTCGATCCATACCCATCCAGCTCCATTATCATACCGGTAATATATCTATCCCATGAGGGAGTCCTCCACGACGACAAAAAAAAACGCCGAGCAAACAGCAACCAGCAGCGATCTAATTTTGCGAATATTATCCTCGCCCCCACGTCCTTTGCTGATTACTGTAACGCCAAAGATGTCGTGGATGGACTCGTGGTCAAGGCCTTCGAAGTCGCAAGCGACGCCACCCCCCTTCTACCTCCTCCCGGGGTCCGAATCCGTCTTATACTGTAGAGCGTGCGGACGCGTCATCGGTATCCGTTCCTCCCTCGTTCTATTTCTCACATCTCACGTCCCTCGGGCTTCACAATCCCATGGAAGAATTGCAATTCCATCCTCTCAGGTGACTGACTACGAGTGAACTAACGACGAATCCGTGCCAGGTGACCGCAAGAAAGAAAAGGGTTCTGCCGCGTCCACCCCACCCAAGTACTGCGCTGCCCGGTGCAAGAATCACAAGCGGAACGGGGCCCTCGATGCATACATCGAGTCCGTCTTCGTGTCTCTGCTCGAGAGCCGCGAACTGCCTGTTCCGCCGGCGTTGCTCGGCGCGGAGATTGTTGAGAGGATCGCCCGTTCGGTGGCGGCTGCTGAAGCTGGAGCTGGAGCTGCCGGCAGTAAAGGAGGCGAGAAGAAGGGTGGCAGGAAGGGCCGGAAGAAAGGGGAGAATCGGATCCTGGTCCAGTGTGAGGATGTGGAGCGGCTGGTCTTTGGGAAGGATGAGGATCCCGAGAGGATGTTTGGGCGCGGGAAGAATCGGAAAAGGAGGGGCGTGATGGAGAAGGGGGAGTGGAGGAGTGTGGATATGGTTTCGTCGGATGACGAGGTCGAGAGATCCAAGATGCAGAGTATTGAGAGGAGGGCTGCTTTGAAAAAGGTAGATGGGGAGGGGAGAACGGATGACGAGGAAGAAGAAGAAGAAGAAGGTGATGGTGATGATGACGATGAAGGGGGAGGTGCCGTTATTGCTACTAGTGATTCAAAGGAGGAGCTGGATCCGGAGGTCCTGGCTAGGCTTTCTATCCGCAGCGGTGCACGCATTCGGCCGACCCAAGATGTGTCTGAGGTTAATGGTGGTGTAGGCGGCGAGAAGGGAATTAAAGAGAGGAGGGAGGAAACGGATGAGGATTTGCAAAAGAGGAGGGAAGGTCAGGTGAGGGCGGATGGGAGGGAGTCTGTCAGATGTGCTGCGAGGAGAGGGGTGGCTTTTGGCTTTGTTACTGCTAAGGGAAGTGAGGTTGGTGATGGCGAGGGAGCGGAGGGCAGACGCCTCTGCGAGGCAGTGAGGCAGGGAAGTGTTGTTGAGGCGAGTTTTGCCAAAGGGGCATGGGGTATCAGATGGAGGGAATAGGTCAACAGCTACCAATGTCACTTTGTCACGTGAGAAGAGACTTGTCTGAGGCTTGCTCCTGACCAGAATCCAGCATTTCTCACGGGTGATCTGAAAGGGGCTGAGGATACTCAAATGAAATGAAGTGCCCGTGAACAAACACCCAGGAAATGTCAGACAGAATTTGCTGTGCGTGGATTTCTCCGATTCATCTCACATCACATTATCGACGCCTATTTCTTCTGGTATTCCGCTACCCACTTCACTATCTGCGCCACCTCATTATCAATAACCTGCTGCGCACCAGCATTATACTGTCCATTCTTCAACCTCAAATCCGAGCAATGGAAGCCCCCGGGAATGATCTGCAACGGCGCAGCTTCAGTGCCAGGGAACGGCCCGCCCGGTCTGTACTCACTCGACATGCCGGAAGTCTTCCATGGGTCGTATTGACCGTTGGTCCAGATCAAGCGGGTAGTATCCTCGAGCCTCCAGCCCTCGGTGTGCTTGTTGACTTGGTGCACGTTGTTGTCAGCCGATATGTTGGAAGCGTAAGTAAAGCCGTTGACCGTGGGGAAGAAAAGCCCGCATTGGCGTTGCCAGTAATCGCCTGTGATCAGGCGGGAGACGATGGTAGTCTCGTGACGAGGAGCACCGTCTTGCCAGTATCCGAATGGTTCGTTACAGAGCATCCATTGCCACTGCAGTAAGGCGACGTTATTGACACCGCGGTCGGTGAAGAGGATGTTGGTTTCGTCGTATGTGTCGAAGCACTTGGTTTCGCGCTCGTCCGTATAACCGTAGTTTTGACAAGCTAAGATGGGGATTAGCTGTTTGGTCGAGGCAGGGAGTAGGCTAGGGACGCACAGCCTGGAATTTGAGTCTCGTTTACCCATTTGGCGTAATTAGGGAGGGCCTTCTCGAGACCAATTCCATTTGCGTCTGGAGTGACGGCAGCTCCAGCCTCGACACCCTGGGGCGGTTTTAATAATTATATCTAGGTTTTGAGATACCGAAGACACTAACCTCAATGGCATCGCAGAATTGGAAGAAATCAGAGTAACCAGTGGAAAAGCTGTTGGATTGCCACAGCCAGGGGCCGTATTCCAGGACACTAGGGAGCTTGTCAGTAACCAGCAACGGGTCGCAATACAATCCGGATTTACCCCATAACATCATCGTTGTGCTCAAGAGACTCCAGACCGAATTGGGTCTTGAGCGCGAGCTTCTCAGCGTCGGTTCCCTTCATGAAAACTTTATCCATATGCTCAACGACAGCTGTGATGTCCTTTTCGACCGTCAGATTGTGATGGACCTCGGTTAATGAGATACTCACACTGCTACAGTTCTTTGGCATACCCTCCTGGATAGGTGCAAAATATTGCCACTGATCTCGTCAGTCCGGCGCTTGCCCCATGGAAATTATCAGACTCACGTAGTCGTATATCGCTTCAACGGGGGCACTAGAAGCGTGGTATGCCCAGAAAGTACCGGGAAATAACTTCTCAGTCCACGCTGCCAAAGCACCGGAGTAACTGCCACCTGTGAAGACCCATGGCGCTTTGTTAGCATTCGAACTGTGGTTGATATCGAACGGGAGAGCGGCGGTGTTTGCGAAGTAAGTGAAATCCTGCATGGATTGGTGCAAAGTCAACAGTTGCAGAGTCTCGGCATCTAGAGTATCGTATGGAGACGAGTCACCGTAGTATCGGTCTACCTCGAGTCAGCCAGTCAGGTCGATCAAAGACGTGGGAGGGATCATCCCCACGCTCGAACAGGATGACAGCTCCCTGGACCTCCTGGGCAAAGAGACCAGAGACTGTAACGTTTGTGAGGTATGAACCATAAGGCGCCGCGGCTGCTTCACCGGGAGTGAAGAAGACAACCTGCAATCTTTAGCTTCGACCTCGCGCCTGCAATGTTGAACGTACCGGCGAGCCTGGCCCTGCCCAAAATTCCGAGTTCCACCAGTACTTCTGTTGGAAGGTTCCCTTGCTCGGATCATCGTGATCCAGCAATTGGGTGAAGAAGGCGGACCCGGTCGTGGTGACAGCAGCCGCGGCGAAAGCCTCAGCATGCACATCGCCGTTTTCAAGGGGTGGCAGCAACCGTCCCAGACTTCGGAAATCATTTTTACCGGTGACGAAGGAAGCCAATGCCGTGGCCGCAGCCAAGATGGAAGTCTTCATGGTGAGAGTCCGAGAGATCTGAATCCTGACCTGGCAATACTAGGCCCGACACCAAGAAAGAAGGCCTTTTTTTTCCTTCAGGCGAATGAACCGAGACGGAAATGAAGGGACCGAGACTCGTAAAGAGAAGAGGAGATAAAGAGCAGTGAGGTGCAGCACCTCTTATCAACTTACTGAGTATGGAGCACTGCCAACATACATCATGCATATCGAAAGCAGATTGCCAGTGGCAACAGAACGTAGCACCTACCGTAATCGGGACAGCTCTGTCACCTGTGATTGAGTGATTGAATGTATGGATTATCTCACATCAAAGTGCAGATCTGATCTGCTAGATATAAGCAATCTCGATAGATCTCTTATCGACTGCAGCTGTAAGATGCTATGTAGCCCACGCCGACACGGGACAGGAAAGACGCTGAATAGTAGAGGAAGTAAAAAAGAGGACTCTTGCGATGAGAGATGAGGCCCAGAGGAACGGGGGGAACAAGCATGTCGGGACCCGGGACCACTTCTGCCAACCCAAAAGAAGCTCGTCAAGCATCGGTGCCAAGGAATACCGCGGTCGCTTGCATGGAGTAACGAGTCACGGACTGACTCGGGTCTTGCATTCTTGATTCGCTACTCCATGGAATTTGATGTCGTGGTCGACGAGGAAGAGGCAGGTGCCGACAAGAAAGTAGAAAGTGTGGAGTCGGATATCATGGCTATTGTGTATCGTATGCGGCGGTATGCCGATCAAATGCCAAGTTGCCAACTGCCTATCCGGGGTAGCTCCCGAGCGAATGCCCATCACAACGTCCCATCGACGATCGGATGATGAATGACGAATGCCGGACCTGATGGGCTAAAGAGAAATGTGGAAAGAGCCACGATGGTAATGGTCGTCGTCGTCGTCGTCGTCGTCGTCGTGGTGTACGACGTCGTAAACGGACGAGCCGTTGTGGTGCAGAAATTCCGTCTTATTTCGTTTTGTTTTGTTAAGGAACGCTAAATCTCGGCTATCAATTACTTGTTAATTAGAGCTGCCCCATGGTGCAAAGATGGATGGTATTTTGTGATAGATCATTTTGCATGCATGGGAGAGGTTTCGCCTTGTAAAGGTTGCCTGGCAAGTCGTCCATCTCGCACAAGTACTTCGAGGACTGCCTCCTTGCGCTCCGATAGTCTTCGTTGTCTCGGTGACAGTTGACTCGGTCACATCTTTTCCCCTGGCATTTAATGTTAGAGCTCTGTGTAGATTGCAGGTTTTGTATCTGAGTGCTGGGCACCGGGACCAGAAAATATATACGTACTCCAGAGCCCACGATACACAGCATATGCAGCTTCGCGTGTCTTCTGATACCTATGAGCAGTCCCTCTGAGACCATGACTGTAAGGCCAGAGATGAGATGGGACAGAGATTAATTACTTGGCATGTAATTGAACGGCGTGCCTTAAGCGATTCCGGGTTTCTATTTTGCACACTGTATCTCTGAGAACCCTCTGGTCCACTGCATGCTTCCCATGATAACAATCAAGAAGCACAACGCAACAACCACGCTCGTAGCGCCATATATATACGCATGTTTTCTGCGCAGCGAGCTCAACTCACTAACCCACGTACTAACCGTCGTCAAGCACCCACAGAACCCATCCTGGATACCTTCCAGCACCTGGCAGCCAACGACGCCTCCAAGCGGTACATGTTGTAGGTCGTAGTTCATACCTAGTATTACCGTGCCGAAGATGTTTACAGCGAAGGTTCCGAGAGGGAAAGAAGCTATTTTGCTGTTGAGGTAGAGGGAGGCGTAGAAACGAGCCAAGCATCCTAACGGTGCGAAAACGAGTGCAAAGACAGCGCGGCCGCGCCAGATTTCCGGGGGTGCGGAATGCCTATCAGGGGGGAAGATGGCGAGGAGGATGGCGCCAAGCCAGCAGCCCCAAGCAAGGAAGACCGCCAATGGATCCAGTAATTTTCGCCAGAGCTTGAAAGGAAGACTTGGTATGAACCGTTCGGTGGCAATGGCTAGGTGGGCCCCAAAGTGCAGTCCTGAAACGCAGAGGGCTATGGTGGTGATGATGACAGCTAGCAACGCCATCAAAGAATATCCACCATTCCTTGCTACCGTCGACTCGGGGGCAGCACTGACAGGCCCATAATCCTCATGGTGGTTCAATGGCGTAGGAAGTTCGTTCGAAAGCGCCAGAAAGATATCTCTGATGAAAGAGGAGAAGGAAGTTAAACAGCCACAAAACCCTGTTGCAAGGCCAACGTATAGGGGTATCGTTTTCTTCGTCGCCGCATGCGCCTTCTTGGCAGCTCCCAAGTCGACTATGCCATCTGATCCTGATTCAATTTCCTCGTCTCGCTTCTGCCTCTCCGCTTTCTGAATTTGCCGATGATATGTTGGTGTTCCCCATTCATTCCTGAACAGCATCCGGTCCTCGCTCAGAAAGCCCATAACAATGCTTCCTCCAAAGTTGGCCCAGAGCTCACTGAATGCCACCGGAGCCCCGGGATAAAACGTAATGGCTTGGAGACCAAGTCTCGCAAGCGTTCCAAGAAAGGAGAACAGGATCAGGTATGAAATGACATAGAGCTGAGTTGCCAGTTTCGACACTTTGGGGGCTCCCTCCTGCTCTCTTTTCGAGCCCTCCTCGGGATTTTCTCTCGATGCTTTCCCGCGGACCTCTTCGGTTCTCCGATATCCCTGCTCCTGACTTCTCTCCTGTTCAAGTGACTTGCGCAGGTATAGAGCTGCCTCATCTGGATTTTGCTCTGGCGACGGGCCAAGTGACTCGTTTAGGTTGGCATGATAATCTGGAACATCGTAGCTATCCGGGTTCTGCGAGATTTGACGAGCAGCTCGTTGACTTCGCGATGATATCCGTGGGGTGTGGGATATCGAGTGGGGAAAAGGATCTTGCGGCGCTTCTCTCGAGACGCTCTCTCCCTTACTGCCCTCAACGGTGAGATCTCGATTCCTCAAGCTCCCGGTCGCAGCTGGTGACATCCCATTCGAATTCCCAGAGCCGTGCAGTTCCTCTGTCATAGGGTTCCTCCCTCCCAATCCAGGCTGGTCGACGACGCTGTGCTGCCCTGCTGTGCCCGATCCTGTCGCATCCAGGGTCGCTGTCGCCATCGCCATCATAGTATACCACCCCTCCAGGTTGTGCCCGCGCTCCACTTGCCGATGATGCTAATGTTGGAGACTGCCATCGTCGTTATGGTTTTTGCGAAAAGTATCTGGTCCATCTAGGCGGGATCGATTAAAGCGTCATGAGGCCATAAGGCAGAAACAGGCATACACGCATAACACAGCCTCCTTCGCCACTTCTCCCGCCACCTTTTCCGCCACCTCTTTCGCCACTTTTCTCGCTACTTCCTTCGCCGTTTGACTTAAGCAAATTCAACGAAATAAAAACTATTTTTAGCTTTTTTATAATACTAAGCACGTGCGCTCGACTTCTTTTACGTTACCTTTATTTTTATTTCTTTAATTTAACTGATTATAAGATATTTCGGCTTTTTATCGATAACGTGTATTTACTTCGAGATAAACTATTACTTATACTAT